CTTTAAAATTCAGATCAATTCAACAATTGAAATCAGATCCGATTTTTTCCAAAACAATATATGTTATTTGTCCTTTTATTATGAAACTTAAGTGAAGAAAATAAATAATTTAAACAGATTTTGTCACAAAAAAATATAAAATGAGATTTTTCAGCCATAATGCCCAGGTTTAATATAATATATTCAAGGCCAAAGACAAGCTGCAAATGAATAAAAAAATGTGGTATCTGTTTTTAATGAAAGGAGTTTAGACATGTTAAGATATATTTGTATGAAACAGTGTCATACATTTTATTCTGTGAGAATCTGACATTGCTCCACATCTACTGTAGATGTGAACAAGGGAAGAACATCATTGGGGCAAACAGCTAAACCAGACATTGAACAATTTTTTAGTACTTATATTTATAAGATTGAGTAGCAGTTTGTTCTAAATATGACTGCAGGGGTTTAATTAGAGGTGTAACAATACCTCTATCTACCCTGATGCATCGATTAAATAATTAATGACCCTGTTGCATAGATAAAGGAAACATTGGTCCACATTGTCAGGATACACTTTTAATTTGAAGTCAATCAATTGATTATGATAACTTTTATAGTTATAAAAATACAGTTTTTTATTTATTTAAAGATGCCTGCAAGATTTTAGGAATAAAATTATAAAATATATGATTTGATATTGGGCAGTGGCGGCCTAGTGGTTAGGGCATAGAGCTTTGATCCCAGAAGTTCTAAATTTGAGTCCCACTTCCACAGACTGCCACTGTGGGTCCCTGAGCAAGACCCTTAACCCCACTCTGCTCCCTGGGCGCCGCACAATGGCAGTCAAAGGGATGGGTTAAATGGAGAGGTGAATTTCTCCAACGTGAGATCAATAAAGTTAAATTATTATTATTGTTATTATAGAAATGTAAATAATTAAAAGGTAGAAGATATCGCGTTGTATTGATCGCACATCGTAATTAGCCTCATGAGACCATCCTGATCTCGCGAGCTTTCAAGGTTTCACTCGCAGATCAGTCTGAAGACTCTCCGTTGAAGAAAATTTGGAGCCGTTCACCAAACGAACGTCCGATCAGCGTTGGCTTTGAGGCGGGTTGAGGTGTGACGCAACGAGAAGCGCGACAGTTCAGTCTAAAGAACATGGCGGCTTCAGCCGATGAAACTAGCGTTAGCGTGGCTATGGAGCAAGTTTTATCGGAATTACAGAGTATTTCTTCACTGAAAGAAGAGCAAAACACTGCTCTGGAGGCTTTTCTCAGAGGAAAAGATGTTTTTGCTCTTCTCCCGACTGGTTTCAGCAAGAGTTTGATCTATCAATTGGCTCCTCTTCGTCGTCGCTCTGTTAGAACGTCATATGCTTCGTTGATCTGATTGGTTTATTTGGCCCGTCTATCACCAACATAGGCCAATCAGCTAACCAGTATTTTCACCCCTTCCCAAAATTACTTCAACGGAAGGTTTCCAGATGGATATGCAGAGCAAATCCATCTGGCGGAGTCAGGTTAGCCCAGAGGGCCTGTTGGGGCCAGAATACAGCAGCCTGGCTTCTGTCAGTGTGCCCCAGGGCAGCTGTGGCTACAGTGAAGCTCACCACCATCAGTGAGCGCGTTTATGGGTGGATGTAGTGTGAAGTCTCCTGACTTAACGTAGTGAGTCTCAGAGGTCCTTTCAAGCTTTTCTGCTTCATTACAAATCCATAAGGGGAAAAATACTAATTTGCTTTGACTAGAAAGACGAGGTTTAATGTGTGAACTTTAAAAAGGCAACAAATGTTTGCAATAAGACCCGGAAAGTTATTCTCAATCTTAATGTTGATTTCAGCTGGAAATTATTCCTTAAACCTTCTGAGCTTAAAGCTACAGTGTGTAATAATTACAGGGATATACGGTCAGAAATGTAATATATTATACATAACTATGTTATTTATCATCATCTACGAGCTCAGCCTCTTAACCTTAATATTTGCGTTGCCTTAGAATTCGTTATTTATAATTACATAGGAGCGGGTCTCGCAGCCATGGAGGCAGACATCTTTGCGCTACGGCAGCGCAGAGCCAACAAACTAGCGATTGCGAGATCGCCCATTACAATAACATGCTGCGTGACGATGCTGTTAGTCTCCAGTATATTTCCAGTATATTTATTCAGCAACGTCCCTGACGTTTCACAGGTAATGATTCAGTAATTTTCTGTAAAATAATTTTCTGGATATATACCTCGGTTACTTCTCTCCGGCTCCTTTGGAGATCTTCAAGCCTTTCCTCCTCTGCTCTAGTCACCCCGCTGGCACCCCTCCCTCGCCTGGCCCTAGCTGCACGCCCACCCCGCCCTCTCTGCCCTCTTCCTCGCCTTGTAACCCCCGTGCCACAAACAAGACTTAGACTCTGTAAACGGGGAATATATATTCTTCCAGCGAACACAATCTCGCTGTTAAACTAATGACTACAATTACTTCGTCTGTTTTTATCACCATGCAAAGCAGCTCACCAAAACGTCACAACGACGTAGAAAAAATAACAGGTATATTTGTCATCTTAAGTCTACATGAAATCTATACCCTACACAGACTAATGAAATACTATCTGTAAAATTATCTATGTAAACAAACCTCATCAGTTGAGAAGGTAGGTGATGCAGACGTCGTGGAAGACATTTTGTCCCGTAACGCTCGCCGTACTGTTGGGGGGGAGAAGCGGGGGGGGGGGGGGGGGGGGGGTTGGGGGGGGGGGGAGATGTTCATGTTGCTGCGGTCTGCAGTCTGGACGTTAGATGTCGCTGAAAATTACACACTGTAGCTTTAACAGGCGTGTTTTCACCGTCATCCTCTGAGTTCTCTCTCATTTTATCACCTCTGTCCGTACCAAACGACAGCTTACCAACTTTCTCCACCTTTTAATCATTTTGGGTGTTATTATGCAGTATATAGTGGCTGCTTATTTGTTCTGGTTCAAAGCCACTATATTGCTCAATAAGATTAGATTTTCTTTCTTTCTTGATGTTCATTAGCTTTTCTCTCAGCTGACGCGTCTATGTCCGACGAAATGTTCTTGAGCGTTAAAGAAGTACTAACTAATCCACACAAACTTTACTTTTCTTTAAGCAAATATTACAGAAGCATTCTTTAATCTTGCTCAGCATTCCTCATTTAACGGTCAAAAACCACGTAGAGCTCAGTTAACCACGTTCTTACTGCAAAAACGATCTCAAAAGTAGTAAAAATGTCTTAAATTAAGGGTATTTACCCTTGATTTGAGCAGGTAAATAAGATGATTTGCCAATGGAATGAGTATTTTTACTCTTAAAATAAGGTATCTAGATATTATGCAGTTGATATATGACAATGCAATTGTTTTTTTTATTTTATTTTAAGTGTAAATTGTCTTGTTCCAGTGGCAAAGTGTCTCACTTAAATCCTTAATTCTAGAAAAAATGCACTTATTTTAAGAAAAAATGACTTATTTAGATTTCATTTTTTTGCAGTGCTGTTTTCTTTCTAAACTGACATTAAAGCACTTTCCATATATTTTCAATCACGTCCTTTAGGTGGCACTTTTCTACTAAAAACATACAAAAATAAAACCTTATTATTAAAAAAAATATCTAAATATACCAAAAGCATACACAGTATATTCTGCACTGATTTTGCAAAAACTTTACTATTTTTTCTACAAAGCAAAATGTAAATCTCACCACATCACAAGTCTTCTATTTTGGTCAGAACCATTTTAGTAAACAACAAACATTCAGCTTTAACATCAAAAGAAGGAAAATACTCCAATTTTGTCTCATATTTTCATTTATTTATATATATGTATAATTTTCAAATCCCTTATTAATTTATTTTAACTATCAAACAGCCATTTTACCAACAATCAATTATTGAAGGACCTGATGCGAATCCCTTAGTTTTACTTTCACTCTTATTTAAAATAAATATTCTTAAACAGGACTTGTTTCCATCTGCCACCCCAGACAGGTTGAGAAATAATAAATCAAAATGTATAACATACAACAACAATATAGAACATTAACGAGACTGGACCTAATCAAAGAAAAGGTTCAAAATGTTCAGAGTTTTTCTTTCATCGCAGATAAAAATCCAACCTATTTCTCCCATTACGATTGAACATGGTTTGGGCGGTTAAAGCAAGCAGATCCATTTGTGCGCGTTGATGTGACCTTTCACCTCTGTCTGCATCCTTCCAGATGGGGACCTCCCCCTCCCCCCTCCACTTACATCTCCTCAATACTAAAAGGTCACAGTTAGCTCTCTGCTGCACAGCAGCTCTGCTTTAAAGGAAAAGTCCAGTCAGCAAGAAATAATCAATGGATCATTATTTATACCTAAAACTAATACGTTCACGGTGAGAGCATCCAATCACATCTGGCCTTCCTGATCAGCTGATCCAGACGCTTCCTCTCAGCTGCAGATGAGCCACTGCTCCATCAGACGGCGAGTCAGAGAAGGTGTTTAGGAGCACCTCCTGCACTTAGAAAGACCTCCCTCTCTGCAGAGGCAGTGAGGAAGTGGGGGCAAGTTTGTTCAACAACGGAGGGAAATGAGGGCCAAAAAAGAGCGGAGATCCAGGTGGAAAAAGGGTCCCAGAGTTCTTGCGGACCTCTCTCTTCTAGTCGGTCCATCTAGATCTGACCAATCAGAGGCCTCCTGTCTGCGGTCATCTACAATTTAGGAGCAGTGTCTGCAGAGGGGGCGGGGCATATCTGAGTTCACTGCGACACATGCAGACGACCTGGTTTCTGAGTATAAATCAGCCTTAAGGAAACCTCCATGTCCTGGAGGGGGCAGCAGAGAGCAGCAAAGCCAATTGCAAACATTGGATGCAGTAACCCACCTTTAACTTGAGGGGGCGCCAAACAGATTGATTTCAACCTATTTTCCTCCTATTCTGGGGCCAATAAACCAAATGTGGTAAATTATCAGATTAAAGTAGACTGTGAGTCAGCTGCTTTAAGTTTTCTCTTCTCTCCTTCAGAGTATCTCAGGTCACCAGCGAGGAGCTCCTGGTCAGCTGCGGCTTCCTGCTCTGTAAAGGACAGGTGTCTCACATGGACCTGGTCTCCCTCCATCTGTCCTCCAACCAGCGGCTCTTCTCCTTCCTCTCCCTGGCCTGGGGCTTCGTGGCGGATGTCGACGTCGAGAGCGAAAAGTATCGGCACGCCGGAGCCGCCCGGTTCACCGTCGGCACGCTGGTGAGGCTGGCATCGCTCCGCATCTACAAGGGCAGGCTGGCCTACCTTCCCGCCAGCAGGGGGAGCAGTACGGACAAAGGCTTGCAGAACGGCGCGGCGGCGTGCTCGACACCGTCCTCTGCCCCCAGGCCACTGGAAGACTCTTTCCCCAACACCTGCCACTCCAACAACTCTCTAAAGCTGAGGAGGTCGGAGGGCAGGTGTCCCCAAAGTGCCCCCAAAGACGTCCACGGCCCGCCCGACAGCCTGCTGCCGCCTCTGGATCAGCCGCTGCCGTCTGACTGGGTGCTGGTCCCACAGGAAGACTTTGTCCTCATGCTGGCCATGTTCCAGTCCCACCTGGCTGAGGACCTTCTGGCCGCGCCTGACGCCCGCCTGGACGACGGCGTCATTCATCTCTTCTACGTCACAGCTGGAATATCTCGCAAAGCGCTGCTCCGACTCTTCCTAGCGATGGAGAAGGGCGCACATCTGGATACAAACTGCCAGCAGCTGGTTCATGTGAAGGTGAGGGCGCTCAGGCTGGAGCCCGGCTCAGGCAAAGGGGTGATAACAGTGGACGGAGAAGTGGTGGACTACGGCCCCATACAGGCCGAGGTGCACAGAGGCCTGGGGAGGCTGATCAGCGGATGAGACCAACCCAGGCAGCTTCCAGGAAGCCGCGTTTCATCCCAGCTTCATCTGATGAGGCTGATGGAGATCAGATTCCCCAGGAGGATCTCTTTCCATCACAGATCAGGCATCTAGTTCATGTCTACAAGCAGCATCTTCTTCGCACTGTTTAGAGTTTGGTCCGCCTTAAAACGAGCAGCTGGAGCAGAAGCTGCATGAATGCTCTGGGTGCATTAAACAGCCTGTGGATGGCTGCATCTTCACCTGCAGAAAACAGCCTGAAAGAGACAGTCTGCAGGAGTCAGATCAGTCCTTCTAACGATAAATAACACCTAGAACACCCACCGACTCAGAGTCTGGCGTAAAGTCGAGCCTCGTTAAAAAGTGGAAGCAGAAAATACAAACTTTTGATAATTTTTCTAAATTTTAAATCAGAAAATGATGGCAGCCTTCTGAGGATGATTCTCTCCCTGTTTTGCACAGAGAGACATTTATTGTTAGTTATTAATAATTTGGGGTTTAACCATAACTAGTGTGTTCTTTGTCCTGCATGGGTGGCTGTAGGGGTGGGCCTGCAGGGGCCAGTGCCCCTGTGGGACTGGTCTGTTGTCGCCCCTGTGCTGAAAACATAAACTTCTAAAAAATATATATAATTTAAGTCAGTTTTTCTTTAAATGTATGTCTATTACCTTTTTTTAAGCAGGTAGGGAAGATCTTATATCAAGTGTAAATTATCTAATTATCTTGTTTTGGAGCCAAAATCCTCCTTTTTCAGATCATCTCAGTTATCGACGCAAATTAAGGGCAAATAAACTGAATGTTACTTATTTAGATCAGTTTGCAGTGTAATATTTAATCTGGTTTTTATTAAATTAGCTGATTTAGAGTTTCAACTTAAAAATTTATTTGAACAATAGTTTAAACATTATAGAAATTACCAGCGTGTTGCTCCTTATCAAACTAAAACATGCGTTCTTGCTCTGTTTTTATGAATGAATTATTAGGGCCAGGCTAGAGAATATAGTTGTAATATTACAAGGATAAATTCATCATACAAGAACCCGTTTCAGAAAGAAAGCTTGGAGCTCCGCCCAGCAGATGACGGCCAACCAGCTCCACCAATCAGCAACCAGAGTCCACTTTGACATCCTGCCCAGTTTGATGCTGCTGCTAAAAGATCCACATTCCTCATTTTAGGGAAGAAAGCGCTTCTAGTAAGAGTTGTCATAAAATACAACTTTATTCTTGGAATTTTATGAGTTTATTCTCCAATACTCCGTAGTTTTTGCCCCCCCGGCAGTAAATTAACTCTAGAACAGCCACTGCCTCCATGAGGCTGCTGGTTAAAGGGTGTGAATCCTTCAGACCTAAACAGTTCCCCTCTGCTCTTTAGAAAGCCACACACACCCTTCATGTTTCATTGTTCTGAGCCAAACTTTAAAACCATCTAAAATATTAACGATCATATTTATTTATTATTAAACGCTGTCTGAGTGCAGCGCTAAGCTCAAAGCCCAAACAGACAGAAGTAAATCACGTCCTTCTTTGCCAAGCAGCAGCTAAACGCATTAGCTGTACGTTAGCATTCGTTTGTCGATGCTCTGCAGGAAAACAGAGACTTGCAGGCGTGTGAACGTACCTCGAACCCAGAACCTGCTGGCTCTGCTGCAGGGGCTTTCTGTCTGTCTGTCTGCGGGTATTCAGAGTTCCTACACTCATCGTTACCAAGGTGTCTTTAACATTAAACTGAGGAACATAAAGCCGTTTAAACATGTTTTAGATTTATTGTCCCGATGCAGTGAGGCTGAAGGTAAAGCTTTAACACACATTTTGACAGGTTTAAAGTTTGAAGACGTTTCTCTTCCATCCAGGAAGCTTTTTCCAATTTAAAATGTCAGAAATAGCGTTGAGTTCCAGGTTTTATCCAGCAGCCCAGCAAAAGCCTTCTGAGGAAAAACAAGGCTTTGTTTTCGGTCTACTTTATAAAACCTGGATCTCAGCACTATTTCTTGCATTTTAAATTGTAAAAAGCTTCTTGGATGGGAAGAGAAACGTCTTCAAACTTGGAAAGAAAGTCCAATGGATTGTTTTTTTTTACTTTTTTGGAACACCGCTGACTGACTTTTAAAAAAATCTTAAATGTATTTATTTAAGTAGCTAAATAAGATGATTTCCCAATGGAATTAGTATTTTACTCTCAGAATTAGAGAATATGCACTTGAAATAAGAAAATGCAATTGTTTTTTTCTTAATTTAAATGTATATTTTCTTGATCCATTGGCAAAATATCTCTCTTACCTAAATTCAAGAAAAAAAAAATCCTTTATTTTAACCCTGTAATGCCAAATGTATCATATTTGATACATACGGTTTCTGAAATGTTTGGCGTCTGACACCTTTTGCATAATTTAATGGTAAAAACTTTGCTCAAAATCCTATTGTACACAATCAGATATACCTGATAACAGCCAGTAGAAGACTACACAAAAAATAATCTTCACTTATCGCAAAGTAATAAATTATTAATATCAAAAATGTATTTCTGTTTTTTCTTTTTACATATTTTGTTAAAAGGCCAAATAAGGACTTAAAAGGAAAAAAAAGTAATTTTCTGTTTTGTTTTATTCTTGGATCGGGCTTTAAAGGGTTAATGAAAAAAAAAAAAGACTATTTAGATTTAAATGTCTTTGCAGTGTAAGACCATTTTTTTTTTTGTCTGTAGTTGCCATCATTGTTGGGACAAACTCCAGAATGACTCTGCTGCTCTAGTGAGATAGAAACCTGCCTCCTCTGTCCTATCTGAGGACGTCGGTCTGCAGCAAAGCATGAGATCAAATTAACCGATAATTAATCTCTCAGTCAGATTTCCATCTTCTCTGCTTTAGTTAACAAGTTTAGCAAAGAGCTGCACTTTTACCCTTTATCCTTCCTCCATTTTCCCTGAGCTGGTGTTTTTGTTTGCAACTTAGTATTTGTGCCTTGAATCTGCTGCCTCCTGCTGGTTAAAATGTGCCGCTGCACCGACTTGTGTCGCCTGCTGACATTTAGTTTTTAATCACAATTGAGGATTTTTTTTAAACATGCTTTTATGTTAAATCACAGGGTTGTTTATAGGAATATAATCAACCTGCTTGGCGCTGCAGTTTATCTGGAGAACTTCGCCAGCTCTGCTGCGTTTAGATGTTTATGCTGAAGGAAAGTTTCCTTCTTTCTCTGGAACACTGACCAAATGAATGAGTTGTATTTCTATTCTCAGAGATCTATTTTCTTGATTTTAGACAAATGTCTGTATATTTTCTATTAAATTAAAGAAGCTGCACGAGTGGGTTTGATGAAAACCTGAATAAAAGAAAAAGATTCTGCCTCGTTTGTCTGTTTTTTGCAGTTTAATCCTAAAAAAAATCCCAGAATTGTTTGGGGCCACTCGAGGCTCCCTGTCTGTCAGCCCAAACCTGCAGCTCTGAAGGATGATGAGGGAAATCTGCTCCGCTTGTTTCAGGTATTTCTCCTCCTCCCCACACCTGAACTCAAGAATGGTTACCAAGTCTCAGAGGAAATGCAATCATTGGATGCAGGGAGCAGAAACATCTAGAACCACAGGTTACTCAGTCCTGGTCCTGCAGGTCCGGTTTGCTTCACCTTTTTTCTTTAGATGCGTCTCTGCTTCAATATGGCCGACTTTAATAATATGTTTATTTAGCAGGACTTCAAACTGAAGAGGTAAATCAGCCAAGTATGAAAGCAGAGAGTGATCTAAAAGCTGCAGGACAGCATTCATGCACCAACCAATGGGTGCAAAACCTGGAGTGCCTGGCCAATAGGAACATCAGCACGAGACGGAGGGGACAAGGAGAAGATGATACGGGGTAGAGATCATCAGTTAAGGTGGACCCAAAGTTCCTCCATCCTTTCCAGCCTCAGTAAGACGTTGAAGGCTGAAGAGTTTTAGAAGCTTAAAGTTCTCCTGGACCTTATTGCTGCTTCTTAGTCTTCACGACGAAGATTTAATTACAATTGTTTATTCTAAGCTTTTGATTAAATGAGATTTTATTGTGAATTTACAGATTTTCTCACCAGTAGCTTTTCTATTATTGATATTTTTCATTTTCTTACCATTTGTTTCTGATCTACTTGTTGTTAAACTTCAACTTATTGCTATAGAACCGATTCACAACATGCATCATCTCAAGGCTCTTTAGAGTTCAGATCATCCAGTCAGATTGATTCAAAGTTTTCTATCTAGGAAAATTGCATCGACTGGAAGGCAATCCCTCACACTTAGCATGCTTGTAGTGACAGTGGAGAGGAAAAACTCCCTTTGAACAGGAAGAAACTTAAGTTTCTTTCAGAAATGGGCTCCAATATAAAAAATATCAGAGCTGGAAAATGGGATTAATCTCCCAGACCTAATGGGGAGAACACAGATTCCTGATTCCAGTCGCTTTCAGGGACACCAAACCTTAAAGCAGGGGTCACCAACGTGGTGCCCGTGGGCACCAAGGGGCCCTCAACGACAACATGGGGGGCCCTCAGCATCTTTTGAAAACAGAACAATTCACCAGTGGACTAAATCTGAAATGTTATATTTTACTGAAGTTCTTATTTTAAGGCATTTATGAAGCATTTTATCACATCAATAAATTAGAACATTTGAGGATTTATATGGATTTCATAATGAGAATATCTAAAAGCAAATTAAAAATGAAAAAAAAAACAATAGAAATATGTTTATTATCTATGAAGTTCAGGTGAACGCTGACTCTTCTAGGTCATAGGTCAGTATTGGGAGCCCGTCCTATGACTCAGTACCCATAAAGTAGCCCTCAGCCTTAAAAAAGTTGGTGACCCCTGCATTAAAGGTACAGCGCCCCTAGTGGCTGCACACTCTACATTAATGTAGGTCAGTCACATTTATTCCAAACAATTTATCATTAAATCTGCAGCCATAATAAGACATTTAAAAAGCTTCCTGGAGTGTTTCTACTTTAGCAACATGCTGCAGATCTCCTCCAACAGGAGGATTTTCTACATGAAGCAAACCTGTTGATGAACGGCCGGTTCTTCGTGCGACACATCCACAGGTCTCCATGAAATATAACCGATGACTCTTTCTCTCCACGCCGCAGATGCAAACAAACAAGTCAACAACATTTTAACGTTACTGCTTGCAAAGTTTAATACATCACTATACAGTCAGTTTTAAAGCAACAAAGTAAACCATAAAAAAAAAGAGAAATGTTGAGTACAGTAAACTCAGCAGTATGTACACACACCCCCCAGCATCCGAGTGACTCATCAGAACCAAAGGTTGTGTTAAATATATTCTGTATGCACCTGTATATTTCAATAGAGTTATGATGTCTGTACAGAGAGAATCAGGCTACAAACGATAACTTTATTACTTCTTTTTTTTTTTTATATATCAACAGGCCACTGTGGAAATGCAGACATCGTACAGGCGAGTTCTTGGTGGAGCCCGTTTGAAAAAAAGGGCCTTAAAGCAACATGTTAACATGCTTTGGCTGGAAAAATCAAACTGCTTGCAGGGAAAATAAGAAGAATGGGTTAAAGTCTTCACAGGCTGCATGTTCTGCCGGCTTCACATTTTCTGTTTGGTGGAGGACGAAAAGTCTAGATCCAGCTTTTCTAGATGTTTTTTTTTCCTTTGACATGATCGGCAGCGATGCAGAAAGGAAAGAAAGGCTCCAACATGGCCGCTCGCTCAGCGTTACAGGCAGACCAAGGATAAAGTCAGATCCTGAGAGGACAAGGACACATGGAGGGGGGGGTTTAAGGGACATTGAGGGAAAAAAAACCACACAGGGAAAAACAAAAACACTCAATCATTCATCTTTTTTTTATTCGCTTTAAAACGCAGCAGCTCGTAGTTCTTCTAGGAGGTCCAGAATGGCACAGTGTGCTCTTTATCAAAAACACTTTTCAGCATCAAAGTCCGTTTTTCAAGTATGTCATCAGAGGGCCGTCGCTCTCTGGTCGGGTCATAGCGAGCGCGGTTCCTTACTGATCACGGGGGAGGGGGGGAGGTTACGAGTCCGATGGAAGATGTCATCCAAAAAGATGTAAACAAAGACTGCTGATGCCCCCCCACAGGAAGCACCCACAGGTGAGTCCTCAACACATTCTGCAGCAAAGCGACGAGTCTTAGACGGAGAATCAAACACTGAGGAAATGCAGCGGGAAGATATTACGTTTGAGTGGCGGCGACACCGGCGGCTCTGAGGTCGTCAGGAACTATTCAAGTAAGGCGATGTGTCGACGTGAGATGATGAACAGATCAGCTCTATCAGAAAACTTTAGCTTCAAGAAAAAAAAAAAAAAAAAAATCAAACAAAAAATAAAACACCCCAAAAACCAAAGCATGAAGATCCTGCACGCCTGGGTTTTCACTCCTGCAGGAGGAGGCGTCCCCGCGAAGGAGGTGTGTGTAAACGTGAGGGCGAGGAAAGCGGCGCCGGCAGCATTGGAAGCGGCGTCGGCTGGCAGTTTTTCTCCTGGGAAAGTTTGGCAGGCGGCTTCCATCCGGCGAACGCTCCGCGGTTCTGTTCCCAGGCGGGACGGCGGCGTCCTCCATGATGGTGCTACAGAGAGCTGCAGGGAAAGGTCAGTCAGAGCAGCTCTGGTTGGTTTGACCTGCTCTCAGAGGAGGAGGGGGGGAGGGGGTGTTAGGCATCACTCATCTGAGGCGTAACTGAAGGAAAGGAAAGCACGTTAATGAGGCGGAGTCATCAGGTTCTGCTCCGGTTCTGGGGTGGGAGGTGCTGCTGAGGAGGGCCGGATGCAGGAGACAGACCCCCTCCTAGACTTGAGGAGGTGAAAGAGGGGAGGAGCAGTGCAGGTGTGTGTCAGAGTGACGGTGGGGAGGCACTTACTTGTCCTCTGGGCGCTCAGGGACGCCGGCGGCGGCCAGTGCGGCGCGGTACTGCTGCAGGACGCCTTTGACGCTCTTCACGAAGCCCTTGGAGAGCGGGAAGAGCGGAAAGCCCAGGTCTGGGTATCCGCTGCCCTCTGGGAGAAAACTGCGGTAGCTCTTTCTCCTTTTCTTTGGTCGCACCACAGGCTGGCCCCCCGAGGAGCTCCCAGCTGCGCCAGGACCTGAATCTGTCGCAACGCTGCGGATCACGGACCCAGGACCCGAGGGGGCGGCTTTATCTCCGCCCGGAGGGGCGCTCCCCTGAGAACCATCGCAGTCTGAGTTCTGGCTCAGCTCCTGTAGAGGAGCCGCTGTGGTGGAGGGACTCAGCCCTGAGTCCTCCAGCTCCTCCTCCAGAATACTGCTAACTCCCGGCACCCCCTCCTCGCAGGGTTTGCTGGGGCTGCTGTGGGCCACCGCCACCAGCCGCAAACCGGGCGGCAGCTGCTCGTCCTTGGAGTGGTGGCTCCTGGCGGAGGAGTGGCCGCCCTCGGAGGAATCGTTCAGCTCCAGCCACGCCTCCAGCCGGTGCACCAGCCGCCAGCCGTTGGACATAAAGTGCTCGTGGATCTCCTGCCTGAAGACCTCCACGGGGTTCTGCAGGAGCTGCGTCATGGACTGCACCATCTTGATCAGCGCCATCTCGTTGTAGCAGCGGCTGTTCTCGTAGCCCTCTTGCAGGCCGCGGTCGCTGTCGAAGCCGGCCTCGTTATAGTACGGCTCGTTGACCAGGATCAGACCTGCAGGCAGAGCAGCTCGTTAGCTCGTTAGCTCACCCAGCAGCTGCTGCACCGGCCAAAAGCTCGGCCAAACGGACCAGGAAAGATTAATATTCACATAGATGACGGTTAAATCCTGTTTAAAATCTATGCAAAATACATTAGACTGCAGTTTCAATAATTCTAACCAACTCCATCCTGAACCAGGTGGTATTTGAGCAAAGCAAAGGATTCAAACTCTCAACCTCTCACTGCCAATCTATGCAGCGTTGGTGGTAGAGCTGATCCATTACAGGTAAATAAGGTTAGGGTTTAGATAAGGCTTTCCCCCTGATTCTTTTTTAAAGTATTTAAATATATTAATATTCCAAAAGAGTTACTAAAAAAAAACAATCCTCTGGACTTTGTTTCCAAATTTGAAGACGTTTCTCTTCCCATCCAGGAAGCTTTTATTAATTTAAACATCAGGAATGAGCGGACTGGTGTCTGCAGATCAATGCAGTGAGGAATGCTCTGATCTTTATGCTGCGTTCACACCGGACGCTGCAAAAGCAGCAAAATCGCGTCTGCTGCTTCCTTTTTGCTGCTTGTACCAGTTAATTCTGACGCGCGGCTGAAGCAGCTTTGCTGCTCTGGCTGCGCGGAGCAAAAGTGGCTCTGACGCGCGTTGGGCGGAGCTTTACTATCCTTTCTCTGCCTTGCAGCTATATTTGCTGTGATCAGTGGGAATAAAGTAGTTTTAATATGTTTTTAAGTGAGAAAATACACCTGAAAACTTCATCAGTGCAGTCAGTTGATCCAGATTACAATCCTGCCTCCCAATATTATTTCTGTCGGAGCCGCTCAGACCCCCACATACCGGCGGTGCGCCGACAGAAGGAATCCCTTCAACAGCAGCCTCTGGCGGGTCGCCTCCTCGCGGTTCAACGCGGCAGCTGGTAGGTGTTTTTCATATAAATAATCCGATCTGCAGTAGAATAATAAAAGCGAACATATTCTGCCGGCAGATGTATATATTTTAAGTTAATTATGCGTTAATAAACTGTTTAAGAGGAGCGATCAGAGCGGTCTGTGTCATCAGCGCTGTGTCTCTCTCCCAGCCAGCTCCCAGATCAGCTTCTCTGATTGGTTGACGCGGCACGTCGAGCAGCAAAAATTCAATTTTTCCATCTCGAGCAGCAACGCGTTTGCGGCGCGTCACGCGCATCAGATGCTTAAACGCGCCCGACGCGCTGCTTCAGCTGCTCAGACGCGCTGCGCTTGCTGCTCGAAACGCGCCGCGGGACCTTTTGCTGCGCCTTGACGCGCGTCAACCATTGACTTTGCATGTAAACTCGCTGCTTCTGTCGCGCCAGCTGCCCCCGGTGTGAACGCAGCATTATATCCACAGACGCATGGCCCAACAGAAGAGCGCCCTCCTCTGGACACAACTCAGCGCTACATCTACACCTTATGGACAAAAGACATTCTTTAGAGGACCAGAGTAAGAAGACAGGTGGTCTGAGAGGAGCGGGAAGTAAGGCATCTATGTAAGAAAGAAAAACCGGTAATGCTTTCTACTACAGTACATCAATAACCATCTAATAACATGGTTAGAACATAATGAGTCACACTTCAGTACTTGGTAACAAGAAAAACTGTTTTTGGGTAAGTACCCCCAAATTAAGGCATATCATTTCAAAATAATAACCTAAATTATAACCATTGGGTTCCACATAATAGTTTCTATTATTGGCCACCACCTTTCAATGGCTTAGAAAGTAAATTGGAACTTTTGATCAGGTAAATAAACATTAATTAATTGAACTAAAGTTAGATATAAATAAGAGCTTAGTTAGGAATATTTGTTTTCTGTCTTCTAGGTTTGGTTTTCTGTTATATACCAGGTAATAAACTGCATTTTACCAGATATTAACACATTCATTTATTGCTGTTTGGGAAATTAATAGAGTTAAATGGCAATAATAGTTTGAAATATAAGAACTCTGACTTTACCTTGTTTGCCTAAAATTTAAAGCACAAAACTTACCAAAACTCTCCATCAAGTTTGTCTCGTTACCAAGTAATAAAGTGTAACTTTATGTTATAACCAGGTTATTGATGTACTGTAAAAGAAAGCGTTACCTGAACCCCCCCACCTTCTTCAAATCAGACAAAATTAGTGTCCAACGTTTGTGCTGCAAAAATTGTCGTTTGTGCAGCTTTAATTTTAAAGGTATAAATAAATGTTTCTACAGGTCATCAAAGGTCAACCAAGAGCAAGCAAGAAAGAGGAAAAGGGCTCTCTACCGCAGTAGACATAGTGATTCGGGGCGTTCGCCTGTCTGCTAAGCTCAAAACAACCGCGCCTGGCTTGACGGAGAAACCTGGAGAACAGCTGAGCATATTTACGACAGTGCACTTTTACTTTCGCCCTCTGGGGGGAGCCTCGCTGGAAAAGTTCGCAGGAAGTTCGCAGGAAGTTCGGTCTGGCATTGCTCCATAGTAGCGCGAGTATGATCGCCCACTCTCTGGCGATCCAATCAAATTGTCAGGGCGGGCTTTATACGATGATGGACAGATGATCAACAGTAACGTAATCAACCACGTCACCAAAGCGCTTGGGTGACAACAACAATGGCTGCCGCCGGAGAGTTGAGGTGAGTAGATTCTGCTATTAGGTCTGTTCTAGAAGATATCGACAGCAAATTAATTTTAAAAGAGGAACAGAGAAACGCGATCAAGGCTCATCTTCTTATTATAGGCGTGCAACTGCACGCTTTGATTTTTGTTGACAACAACTATGCGTGGCTTAACATACGTCACGCACTCCGTTGCTCTTATTGGTTGTAGGTCTATCCAATTGAGTGCAGTCATTTTTTTTCCTGGTTCGTTCGAAACACGCCCCATAATCACAGCTCTATGGAGCAGCATCAGACTCATTCTGACTAGAATTGAGTAGGACTACGTCAGGCTATAGTATACCTTTAATATCATTAAAATGACAGCAGTACAAATTAAAATTTTTGCCATACAAAAATATAAAATTTTAAAATCTATTTTAAATCTAAAATATTTAAATTAAATAGATTAAAATTTTAAAAATGCATATTTTAAAATATATACATTTTTTTGTACTGCTATCATTTTAATGATATTAATAATTGTTTGTAGAAGCCATCAAAGGTCAGTGAACATTTGTTCATTCTGAAACTCTGAATTTCATATAAATTCTAAGTTGATAACCTTTGATTATATCATTTTAAACTGTAAAAAAACAATAGCGGCACAAACGACAATTTTTGCTGCACAAACGTAGCACAAACGTTTGACACTAATTTTGTCTAATTTGAAGAAGTTGGGGGGGCAACTTCACTCAGGTCCTTAACCTGAGGGGGGGGGGACTCAGATTTCAGCTTTCAAAAACCTGCAATGCAGCAACTGAGTTAACTGCTTCCCGCTATCATCACAACCCCTTTACAGGAGAACAGAAGACCTCACCTGTTCAGCCAGGCCAACTATTCCCTTTAATGACCCCCCCTTTCAGAGACATAGACAGGTATGGGGCATTGCAGGCTAACTAAGAAGCCAAACGGCCCCCATTCCAAAGGGGGGGACCCGTTCATCCGTTTCTATTTGCAGGTTTCTAAGCCAGAACAAGGCTTTGTTGGTCCACTCTATAAAGCTTCAAACTCAACGCTATTTCTGACATATTGAATTGAAAAAGCTTCCTGGATGGAAAAGAAACATTTTCAAACTTTAAAAGAAAGTCCAGTGGATTGTTTATTTCTTTAACTTTTTGGAATATCTACTATAATTATCGATACATCTCACAGTTTGTACACAGGAAGAACTACAGAAGGACATTTTTGTCCATATTTAAACATTTACTCCAAACTAATTGATTCAGGAGAAATAAACATGCTGAGTTTTCCTAAAAGGCAGAAGGAGTCACTGCTCCTGTAAACAGACCAACAGGAATAAACAGAGCGAGGAGTGAGTCTGACCGACCTTGAATGGAGATGAGGACCTGCAGAAGGCTGGACTTGCTGGTCCATCTCTCTGTTCCCTGTCAATCAGGACAGAACCACAACAATCAGACCTAATGAGCAGTTAGGGACGGATAAAGCGAGGCTCGACGCAGCGGCGCTCACCCTGCCGATCCAGGTGCCCAGCAGGCTGACGCAGACCTTTCCGTTGTCGTAGAGGTTTGGATTGAGGCGCCCGCTGCACTGGGACAGGTAGCGGAACAAGGGCGGGACGGCCGGGTAGATGTTAGGCAGCTGGATGTCGAACAGGAAGAGACCGTCCTCGTACGGCGTCCGAGTTGGCCCCTTGATCAGCGCTGAAAACAGGTCCTGGGCCCCAGGAGGAAAGAAGACATATTCAGATACTCTAAAGGAGGCTGGTGTTCAGACTGAGGCAACGCAGAACCGTCCAAACAATAACTGTTAGCAACATGCTTTAGTATTATTGAAATATCTGGAGCCTTAAAGTGGATCTGAACAGACTGAGGATCAGTCCAGTTTAGCAGGAATGAAATGAAACGCACCATGCGGTCCTCGAATGTTTTCACCATGATCCCATCAGGCAGCGATGTAGCCAGCAGAGCCATCTCTTTTCTCACGGTGCTGAAAAACTTCTTGGCCTCTGCCGGCTGGAACTCCATTTTCTTAAACGAATGAGTGTCTGTAAGGAAGGAAAGCAGCAGCTTGTTGAAGTAGATTGATTATAAATGCATCAAAATGTGATCGAAGAAGGAAAAGAGTTCTCTGCTACAGAAAAGCCGGGAAAAATTATTCAAACCCCTTAAGCCTGTGATCCAGTAGATTCTGATGAGACATTCATAACGTGCAGCTACAGCTACAGCTCACACGGTACGACAAAACCGCAGGTTTAAAAGTTCACAGCTCACGATGCATGTTCAGCCCGACGCTCTGATGCGATCTACCTGCTCACTCTGTACATCTAAAAACCAGGTGGGACTCGGCTCCGCAGTGAGATGGAGCTACTCGGACTGAACTATCCAGAAGCCAAAGCAGTAGAAGAGGAATATGAAGCTCACTAGAGGGAAACGCGCTGCCTTGGATAAACATGGCTACTACAGTCTGTCAATTTTACAGAAAGAACTACATTTCACTCATTGCACCCCCACCATGCTGCTGGGTTTTTGTCTGAGAGGAAGAAGAAGAATCCTTGTTTGTGCACTGAGGGATTTGCCCATGACCACTTTAGGACGGCCGACTGCATTACAAACGTAAGATTTTCTCCCGACCTCACGATTCCTGAAGGGGAGGTGGTCGTTAGAGGCTGATCGCCCCTCGTTACCCCTTGTACACGACATGACGCACAGCGAGCTAAAAGTCAGCCGGAAGGAAGAATTATCACATGAGCTGATGAAGATTCTCAGTCATCCAGGTCATAGTCATTCCATTTTACCATTTACCAGGTTACCATTTGCATCAGGGGTGGAACGGTTCACAAAATCCACGGTTTTCGGTTCGGTATATGTTGATTGTTAGCCTGACTTGTTGGTCGTGTTGCTGTTAGCATAAAGAAAACATGTTGCACAATGCTTGCACACTGTTTTTATCCCCAGCTTTCTTTCCGCCGTCATCGTAGGTCGCTCTAAATGCAAAGTGGTCCCATACAGCAGACCTATAAAGTGCTGCTGGCGCGTCTTCCAACTCCTGTTCTTTCCCACTTGCCATACCCACACAATTCTCCACAACAACTGATTTTTTTCTGCTACACCCGGCTACGCTGCTTCGCTTCTTCTTCTTGTTTACCACTGGTGGTTGGCTTTGGTCGCAATACCGCCACCTTCTGCTCTGGAGTGTAAACGCTTCGCCTATGAGAAAAAGGAGCAGCGCATGAACCGAACGCAACACACGCGAACCGAACCGAGACAGTCGAACCGAACGGTTCTGACGGTTTTCAAAAACCGTCATCCCTAATTTGCATGTTTCCAATCGATACAAGGCTTTGTCTATATAAGACTCAAACTCACTGCGGATTCAGACATTTGAATCGAGAAAGCTTCCTGGCGAAACGTATTCAAATCTTGGAAACCAAGTCCAGTGGATATTTTTTGAACTTTTACGGAATTATCGCGTGACTGTAAAGTCCATGTTTGTCCGCCTCCAGTAAAGCACATTTAAATGAAACTTCCTCTTAATTAAAAACATCATTTATTGAACAGTGTGTAATAATTTCATATTTAAAGTACTTTCAGAATTCTGAATATAACTCTTCCTTTTAGCTGGAATCGCACATTAATCTAATCACACAGGCAGCTGGGCGTGTCACAGAATAGAGATAAAACACATTTAAGGTGGAGCTTTACAGCAACTTTCATTAAATTCATGGCAGCTGCGACGGTCTGAATATTGAAATTGGTTGAATACTTTCTAACTCCTACAGCAGATGAAAGGGAAGCAGCTCTATGACGGAGCAGTTCTGGTTCCTGTGCGTCTCTCACCCGGTGCCCACTCCAGCACTGAGAACACTTCTCCCTTGGCGCTGGTGAACGTCACTCCAGGCTTCCCTCCGCTCTGCTGGCACAGCACTGGTGTGTCACTCAGACGCTCACTGGGCCACTCCTGCCCCCCCACTGGTGTCTGTGGCTCCTGCTGCGGCTTTTCTTCTCCACTTCTCTCAGCCTGAGAAGCAACAGAAGCTTAAACACCTCCAACCAACAGATGACATCATGACGGGCGTCAGCGACCACGCTGCCAACGCTCACCTCGCTTCCCCCGCCTCCGCTGCCCACGGCCTCCATCTTCTCCTCCTCCACGATAGCCACGTCCTCCAGCGTCCTCCTCAGGTTTTCATGCAGCTTTTTGATGTCGTCCAGGAAGCGTTTTTCCTTGGTGGGTTTTTCGGGAGCCGCTGGCGTCACCGAGCTATCTACGTTGGCGGCGGAGGCTGGCTCGGCCGCCGTCGGGGAGGTCGGCAAGCCGCCCGTCCACAGCTGCTCCACAGTCATGTTCTTTAAGCTCTCCAGGATCTTCAGTGCCTCTTTAAGCTCTCTGAAGCCTCGAGGGGCGCCGTCCTTGCTGGGCTTCTCTGCTCCGTTCACCGTTCCTCCTGGAGCAGAACCTGCAGGCAGAGAGAAGAAGATTTAGGTCGTCTGCTTTTCCACATGTTGGAATTAATCTGTTGATTCTTTTATTATGTTTTACTGAACTTACAAAGAGCAGAAAATGTTAGGATCTGCAGCCACTTTATGCAGCTAAAATTACTTCTTACTGTTTATACCCACAAGCAGAGCTTTATATCCCACAGATGTTGGTAACCATGAGCTAATTGGGTCAGTAGAGCTTTAACTTTCCGGTTTAGTGTCCCTGACGGCCTCTGGCAGAACAACATTAAACCGTCCCACTCACAGGCATAACTTTCTGAAGGACGGGTGCGGACATCTCCCCGCCAATAATTTCCTCTTTCCTTTCCGCTCATTTACTTTAGCCAAAGGCAAAGTAAATGCCCGGTGGGCCGGTCCCAATTTCAGCGTGCGAGGGCCAGTCCTCCTTAAATCATACCAGCCCCAACACTCCTACCTGTGACAGTAAATGACTCAAGGAGCTCAAGAAGTAATCCAATTTTAACGACCTAAATGATGCATGCAATATATATTAGGGATGGAACGGTTTATGAAAACCGTCCAAACCGTTCGGTTCGACCGTCTCGGTTCGATTCGCGTGTGTTGCGTTCGGTTCATGCGCTGCTCCTTTTTCTCATAGGCGAAGTGTTTACACTCCAGAGCAGAAGGTGGCGGTACTGCGACCAAAGCCAACCACCAGTAGTAAACAAGAAGAAGAAGAAGCGAAGCAGCGTAGCCGGGTGTAGCAGAAAAAAATCAGTTGTTGTGGAGAATTGTGTGGGTATGGCGAGTGGGAAAGAACAGGAGTTGGAAGACGCACCAGCAGCACTTTATAGGTCTGCTGTATGGGACCACTTTGCATTTAGAGTGACCTACGATGACGGCGGAAAGAAAGTTGTGGATAAAAGTGCAACAGTGTGCAAGCATTGTGCAACATGTTTTGTTTATGCTAACAGCAACACGACCAACATGTCAGGCTAACAATCAACATATACCGAACCGAAAACCGTGACCAAGAAACCGTGAACCGAACCGTGGATTTTGTGAACCGTTCCACCCCTGGTCTATATAGCCCTTCCTTGTGACGGTTGGCTTATGGTGTAATTTTCTATTTCTTCAAACAGTAAAATCCTTGCACCAAACTAAATTATAATAAAACTAAAATGCTTTCTTTAAACCAAACTACGATGTTCCTCTTATATTTGGCGAATTTATGTTAGAATATTTTGCAGAAATATGTTGCAGTCCATGATGGGGTATTGAATATAAAGCCTAACATTTCCCGTCTTAACTGCATTGTTGCCAGGTTGTGATGTTTCCCAATCTGTTCAGGATGGCCGTCTATAGGTAAAAAATGTTTTTCTTTAGATTTATTGCCTAAGCGATCAATAGACTTTGGTCCATAAGTGGGCCGGTGTAGATGGAAAAATGCCAGGGCTGAAAATCGTTCCCAGTCTGAGCCAAAGGTAGCAGTTGGGTGCAGCTAACTTTTTTCCAGAGTGTTTTCAGTCCGGGTTTTTTTCCTCTCTCTCCCGCTGCTCCCATGTCCCGCCTCTTGATCTGACATCATTGGATCTGTCGCTTTGAGACATCTGAATTGTGTTCGTATTTCACTGCGTACAAAGCAGCTATGTGGATGAAGGAGAGGCAAACAGCAGCACTCAGTGAATATTAACCAGCAGCTACTTTGACGTTTAATAGACAGTTTGGTAAAAAAAAAAAAAAAATCAGAGATGCCACCGAAAACTCCGTTGGTTAGACATGTGGAGCTAAATGTTTTTGGACCCTATATATAAAACATGCACTAAAAGGCATCTCTCTAAACTATCTATAAATATAAATATCAGTTTATTATAGTTCTCTTGTGTTCTCAACAATAGAAAAGCATTCAATAAATATATGTTTGAGCTTATTTTGGGAAATTACACAAACCGTAATGAAAGCGTTCCAGTAGCTGACGCAGACCTTGTTTGTCTCTCATCATCGTATGAGGTCGGCATTAGCATAAAGTGTCTTGCTTAAGGACCCACACTGGCAGCTTATGTTATTTTTCTCCTCCCCAGCGAGGATTCGAGCTTCTTTACTGAACATACGGCTTTACGATCAACCGGAAGAAGTTAGAGCGAATACATCACGATATAAATTATCTGACGGAATTGTTTTTGGCTTTGTTTTTTTTAAATAAAGCATTTTAAATGCCACAATAGTCACATTTAATGAATTTCAATGCCAATTAAGGCATTATTTAAAAAAAAAAATGATAACAAATTAGTGTTAATGATTTTTAATGACCTGTAGAAATTGAAATTGTAATTTGTCTATAAATTTGATTAAAATGATTGAATTTGCAAAAAGATGTCAAGTCAGCAATATGTCTGTATCATGTATGAGTTTAATTAGGAAACCAGGAAGATGGGTGGGCTAAAGGTCAGCCAGAACCCTAAACAAACAGCCAGAGCTTCCTAAGGTTTACATCAAAGCATTTAAAAAATGTCTGAATAGCCTAGTCAAAGTCCAGACCTAAATTTAACTTGCGATACAGATCAACAGAAACAAACTAAAGTCTCAGCATTGAACCCAGCACTATGTAGAGGACAGGCTCTGTTTAAACACCATCTATGATCACCTCCTCCAGAAGCAGGACAGGCCACAGACGCCTCCCCCTCCTCTCTGGGGGTGGGACTCGTCACGTCGGCCTTGCCTCCCTCCTGTGGTGGGATGATGAACACCGAGGACCCGGTGGGCGTGGGGGTCGGCGTCGCCGTGACGGTGGCGTCCAAGTTGTTGGCGTGGCTGTCGTCCTCGGTGGTCACGCCGTTGTCCGTCTCCCAGCTGTCGCTCTCGTCCTCCCACTCCTCTGTGGACAGGACGCTGCTCGTCTCCTCCACCGAGTCGTAGTCCGTCTCCTCGATCTCAGACTCCACATTGTAGAGGTGCTGTGAAAGCGGGCGGTGGACTGTAAGCACGGCTCCAACAGGTTATTCATTAAAAGCAGGTTTGAGTTGGGAATATTTACTTGCGGGAGGACGATGGTTTTCGAGTTGTCGGCCCAAACAACCTCCACTTTACTGCTCACATCCACCCGGGACACCTGGCCCACTGACGTCTGGGGGCGGGGTTAAGTACAGAACAGTCAATGCTTTCAGACACACCATCACTGAAACTAAGACTCATTGTCTAAAAGTCCATCTTTGGTACCATTAAATTCAAGCACTTTCAAGGACTTTCCAGAACTAGTTTCCTCAAAGAACTAGTTACCATGCGTGTTAGCATTTACTTCTGCTACATTAAATATCAAACCTAAATAAACCCCAAAACTTACAAGGACTTTCAAGGATGGATGTTGTTTTATGGTCGTTTTTTTTCAAAATCTTTCAAGGCCTCGACATTAAATATTTGAAATTCAAAAACTTTCTAGGATTTTTAGGGACTTATGGGAATGAAGTAATTTATTTCAGATTTATTTTGTGTGTTAGATCCTTTAGACATGGGATGATTTCCATGCCTTTAGTTTTGTTAGTTTTGATGATTAGCACCAGCATTAGGAAGGCAGGCCATACACTGTAGGATATTTTCAATCGTTTCACGCAGCAACAGCTCAAACCGTACAACAGCGGTCCTCAACGTTTTCCAGGCCAGGGACCCCCAAACTGATGGCGAGCTGTAGCAGGGACCCCCTTATTTTATATATATAGTATGAAATAGTGTTCTATCAAACTGCTCCTATAGTCACTCTATTACTGATGGAGTAATGTAACTAAAGTAATTTCTCCCTGGGATTATTAAAGTATTTCTGATTCCTGGTTGATGGGACAGGTGTTGTGAATGAAACGGTGCCCAGATTGAAAGAGTGTCGCTGCATGTGTTTTATTGACTGAAGGCCAGCTTCTGCCTCCATTAATCTGTTGTCTCTATTCTCCCACGCTGCAGAATCTGTTAATTAAATCTCTATCGTTCTGCTTTTCCTCATAGTTGCCTCGTCTCTCCCCGTTTGGCTGTGACTCCATCCTGGAGAAAAATATCTGCTGTGCTGCTGCCAGAGGTGTCAAGTAACAAAGTACAAATACTTCGTTACTGTATTTAAAGGGGAACACCGATTTTTTTTACATTGCCCCCTTGATTTTACGTTATTCCATCATGTTCTACTCACCCATATTAGTTTTGTGTCATATGGAGCCGTTCTGAAGATATTCTGTTAGGTTATATCCAAGGAACGTCTTCCTATGGGCAACGACTTGAAGGCCCAAACTAAACTGTTCGTAATTTGTCATTTATGGTACGCCAGCATTCAGAACATGTAGGCCAATCACTGTCCCCCAGACATTCGCTGTTATATTTTTTATATTTATATGTTTTAAAAACAAAGCAGAGGTTACTCACTGTATACTACACAACGCACGATCGGGCTGAAAGTCGCCCCATCGAGAAATTCTTTCACAACTGGAGAATCGGCCATAAAATGGCAAACACCCGAACAGTGTCTGCTTGGCTTAAAGGAACTTTGATAGCTGCCTAAAACCACCATCAGCGACTTCAAAGTTCACACAGGAGGAGGTGTTTATTTTCCTCATTCCTCCTCCAGACTCAAACTGTCATTTTTAAAATGAGAAGTGTTTATCTTAATATGGAAAGAGAAAGTAAACTAAAGAGAAAAGGTCCCACTTTTTTTTTCTTTAGTATCTCTTGAGCCCAAAACTCTTGAATGGGCGTAGCTTCGCTAAATGCTAAATGATTAAATCTTGTTCAAACATGCTGAGCTTAGTTTCACTGGATTCAGTTCTAACCAGTGCGCCTCTGGTACTGTTGGGTTTTTCCTTTCTCCTTAACTGTGTGATGTTCAGAAACAGGTTTACCTCATTCTCACAGTCGTTCTGTCCGTTCTCAGAGTTCCATATCCTGATGACGATGTCTGCCGTGCGAAAATGGAAATCTGGATGATCGGCGATGTCGTAAACGCTGACGTCCTCCTCCACACCGATAACCTGAGAGTAAAAATGTTTACTTCTATGTTTCTAGAGGATTTAGCAGCGATGTTAGCTCTGACCCACCTCCACATCGTCGCCCGTGGTGTTCAGCTTGATCCACCTAACGACGCACGTCCTTCCCTTGTGATCACCGGACTGGATCACGCCGTAGACTCCTGGATCCTGCAGGGCTTGGGCTGAGGAGATGGAGCAGAGGAATAAAAACGGACAATAAGACCTCTTTAATACGCTCTAACATCACAACCTATAAGGAGGTCTCAGCAGCGAGGTGGCGTCTTAACTATGACCAGATCCCTAAATTAACATAACCCAATGACGACGCTTCAGCCCAGTAGGTGGCAGTTTCACTTTTACCCGATGTATTCCAGCATCCAGCTGCCATGCACGTGGGCATTGTCAGTTTCACTATAGCTCTGGTGAATTTCAATGGTGAAGTCCTCTGGAAATCTTCAATAATTGTTGTTGATTGCCACAGGTGTCAAGTAACGAAGTACAAATGCTACTGTACTGTACACTTTTTAGGTATCTATACTTTACTCCATAACTTATTTTTTCTCCTACTTTTGACTTCTACTCATTACATTTTCACACATGTATCTTTACTTTCTATTCCTTACATTTTTAAAACAAACGTTACTCGTTACTCTTGGCTTCGGTTTAAAGCACAGGTCACAGATTAGTGGACTGCGATGTTATGAACAACATTAAATCCAAAGATTTTGTCCGAGGTAAAGCTGATTTATTTGTTGTAATCTCTTGTTATTCACACACAACAATAAACAGCGATTAGCCGACGTGGGTTTTAAAACTGCAAAGCTTTGTCTTCAGCTGAAAATCAAACGCGCATCTACACAGACCAGTGTGATGCATTCGCGAGCGTCAGACAGCTATGGTGCATTCAGGAGCATGGGACATTTCAGACTTACAAGGAAAGAGACAAAAACGGAACAGAACTCATAAAATAATGTAATTATTCAGAAACAGTCTAGGCTTTCTTATAATACTGAATGCTCTATAATTGTGTTTCTGTTATTTTTTGATTATTCACATCTGCTAGCTTTTTATTCTAAAAAATCTATAATATAACAGCAGCAAATTATCAAAGTTTTTCAAAAGCCTGTTTAAAAGCTTAATTTGGAGCTTCGGATCGTACAGGGACAATTGCGCTGTCATTGTTTTACAGGGCAGAATTTGCATTTGCTGAATCTTGTCTTTTAACTAGTGATGGATATACAGGAATACAGTCATACAGTGTAAACTCCTCTCAGATAGAACAGGATGCAATATTTGGCAATTTCTATTTTTATTTTTTCATCTTTTTTTTTTTTATTCAGTGTAACATGAATGCATAAACACGTCATTTTATTTGAATGTTAAATTCTATTTAAAGTAACAGATCATTAAAAATGTCTCCTGACATTTACTGGTTGATTTTCTTTAATCGGACCCCACTGATTTTTTATTAGTTACCCCAGGTTTAATGTTTCTAAATATATATTTCCCGTCATGTGCTCCATCCAATGCAGATCATTGGCTCCATCCACTTCTAGTGAAAACTAGTGTGATTGGATGAGTCATAGAACGCAAACACTCATTGGTTAGCTAAAGGAAATCATCAGAAGCAAGCAGGTGTTCTTCAAACTGCTAACGTGAATTGTCTATGCCATGCTACAATGTGGGATTCAGAAAAACATGTCTAAATGTCTGGAAGGTTGGACACAGGCGAGAGCGTATCGGGAGACGGAGACCAACAAGACCTCCCTCATCCTTGGCCCTATCTCAAAGAAATTTTTGAAGTAGTGGAAAAATTGTGCTTTCAATCCATATAGTGGCATCTGGCCTTTTTCTTAAAGGTTACTTTATACTTTTATACTTTAAGTAGTTTTTGGAGCACATACTTTTTCACTTTTACTTGAGTAAAGAGGTCAAGTTGAGACTTTTACTTTTACCAGAGCTTTTTTAAGCTGCAGGATCTATACTTCTACTGAAGTAACAAATGTGTAAACTTTTGACACCACTGTTGATTGCAGATGTGTCTAATAGTTCCCATTGATTTAGCTTGTAAAGCGGGGAGAATGGCGCTAGGCTTACCGCACCGTGACATCACTGCTGGAAGATGGCAGGAGGGAGGGGTTACTATATTTGGGCAAAAATGGCCGCTCCCAGACTCAGTGATGGCGATGAAAATTATTGTTTTTATTTTTATTTTTTACAGATTAACGCTAAATTCATTAAATCACCTTGAACGTATTAGTTTTAGGTATAAATAATGATCCATTGATCATTCCTTGCTGACTGGACTTCTCCTTTAAGAGCCATTGCAGAGGCTCCAAAGAGCCACTTGAGACTCTAGAGCCGCAGGTTGCAGACACCTAGATCTAGAATCTGGATCTTAGACTTATACCCCATTTCCACTACCCTTGAAAAACCGATCCATGCCGAGACCGGTCCGAGCTCGGATCAGTTAACCAGGCTGAGCTCGGTTCTGACGACCGTTTACACATCACGCTATCTCGGTTCCTTGACTCCTAGTGACGATCTGCGGTATTACTGCCAGTATTGAAGGAGGAAATCAAGCAGCAACACAAGAAGAAGAAGACAAAGAAGATGGAGGGAATCAAGCAAATCCAAATGTTGCGTGGAGAAGATTTCGACTGTTGTTTATAGTTGTTCTTCTTCTTCTGTTTTGTGCTGTTGACAAGCAACTTCCGGAGCGGCATTACCGCCAACTACTGGAATGGAGTGTGAATCGGGATGTGCAGCCAGACGGAGATGACGCGTTCTGCTCATGCGCTCTTGTTACCAGAGAACCGAGCCAGGGAAAAACCGAGCCGAGCCCACCTCTGGAACTGGTCTGCAGTTAGCTCGGTCCGGTTGTGTCTAGCTCGGTTCAGTTCAGTTTGCTTTCCATTTACACACGATAAGTTATCTCAGTTACTGAGCTCGGACCGGTCTCGTCACGGTTTTTCAAGGGTAGTGTAAATGGGGTAATAGACAGATTTATTTGGTCATTTTGTATACAAAAGTGTAAAGAAAAAGAAATTTCGTTTAGAACAGCTCTCATTTCATTCATCATATTATTAACCCTTTGAAGCCCGATCCAAGAATAAAACAAAACAGAAAATTCCTTTTTTTTTTTTTTTGCTTGAATTCCTTATTTGGCCTTTTAACAAAATATGTAAAAAGAAAAAACAGAAATATATTTTTGATATTAATAATTTATTACTATGCAATAAGTCAAGATTATTTTTTTGTGTAGTCTTCTGCTGGCTGTTATCACGTATATCTGATTGTGTACAATAGGATTTTAAGCAAAGTATTTACCATTAAATTATGCAAAAGGTGTCAGACGCAAAATATTTCAGAAACCGTATGTATCAAATATGATACATTTGGTATTATAGGGTTAAGTATTAGTTTTAGGTATCAATAATGATCCATTGATTATTCCTTGCTAACCTTTTAATGAATATTGTTTGATGGTTAGATGTCAGCACCAGCAAAACTCGATTTACTCATTTTCCTCTTAATCTCCAAATATATCATCTTTTTTTCCACCACTGATCCACAAAGATTGCATATGTCCCTCAAACATTGAGGTTCCTTGTCTCTTTACCTCGCTGTGACCATTCCAGCCCCTGACAGACTGACAGTCGGAAAAATGAACCGAAATCAAAAGCAGTAAAGCAGAAAATCAAAAGTTTGTGAGGAAGAGAAATCAAACTCACGTCGTTTGTCCACCACAAAGTCTCCGGGGCAAAACTCGTGGCTGTCCAGGTGCTGAATGGGGATGAGGTCGTTTGACCTGATCCCTCGCTCCACCCGCCCGTCCTTCCACATCACGTCGGCTGTGGTCTTCGTCAATACAACTTCCACCGCCACCCTGACGCAACAAGAAAGAAGCAAAGAGGTTGGCTTTGAAAACATCCAATAAGCTTTGATCATCCTCACTCCTCCTGAAACGTCGCCATACAGTGAGGAATGCTGCCAGTAAGAACGCACTGTAGCCACTTGACATTTAACCCTGCGTGTTCAGACATCAACATCAGGCCGATTACTGCTACAGCATCATCATCATCATCCTAACAAAAAAATCGTAACAAAAACCTGGGTTTCTTTTGTTAAGTGCTTTCATTTTAGCGACTCAACACCAGAACCCAGAGATTGGCTGGTTTATCAAATGAATTTTGTTCCATTATTGTTCCAAGTGTTCTCATATTTCCATTTCTACATGAAAATATGGAGAAAACAAATCAATCCAGATATAAACCTTTGAAAAACCTCTCTAAAAAAGGTTTTTAATTGTAACTTGGCTGTTTTATATGGAAGCATATTGCATTCACCAAAGAAAAATAATCAGACAGCTTATCTCATAAATATGAGATCAATGTCTCAGTTTCAGTATCTTTCTTATAAAAGAGAAATGGGGAAATAATACCAGCTAAGTTACTCTTAAAACCTTTTTTTATTTTTTTTATTCATCACAACATTTTTTCTCATTTCCAGATTCCACATTTTCTCAAATTTCAAATAACCAAAACCTCTTCTTTGCATCAGTAATGTAACCAAACTGCCTCCATCCTGTTTCTGCCTGGATGGGATCCCAACTGTGGCCAGAGAAATAAAGTTGAGGATAAAGATCCACTGTAACCCACCGGTCTCCGATCTTGACCTCGCGGGAGAATTTGGTCCTCTTCTTTTTGTGCTTCCTCTTCAGGTTGCGGATGGAGAGCGGGATGCTCTTCTTGCGGTTGGTTCCCAGGCCGCCGCTCTGGGAGGAAGCGGTGGAGCTGGCTGATGACGTTAGAGAGCTGCAGCCAGGGTGCAGACAAGTGGTTAAACCTCAAATCTTCAAATCCTTATACTTAAACACAAAAAATTTGTGAGCTTGATGAAAATAAGCAGAACAGTCCCTACTTCACTGCTGATGATCTATTTTATCTAGATTCACTATTTTAGAGGGGGAAAAAAAGTTTTGCTGGACATTCTCTAAAGTAGAAGCGATCACTTATTAAAAACGAATCTGTGACACAAACTGAGAAATAAGATGATGGTTCATTTGATTAACTTTTAACATCCGCTTTAAAGGAATTTCTTTCAGTGTTGTAATGCTTCTCCCATCCACTAGAGGGCACCACTGTTTATTCTGAGAGGTATAGAGGACGATCTTTTATTTCCAAGTGGATCATCTAAATAAGTGGTCCTCCTAATTGTCAATCATTCTGGTGATATGTTTACCTAAGTCCTCGTTAGGGGTGTAAAGCATTATGGGATTTGCTGTCACAGCAGCCCGCTGTCGCCATAGGCTGCCGCTACCAGACAGCGACAACTAATAAAAAAGATGGCGCAGGCACCGCACAGTGGGGGAGGAGTTATGTGACCAAAGCAGCAGAAAGCAGCGATCATCTGTCTGAATGGTTAGTTAGCTGAGTTTGCTATAAAGTCCACTACATAGTCCCTGCTGTATACAGTGATGGAGGAATTTAGGGGTTAGGATGGATGTTCAGGCACAGTAAACTTGTATGAGCTATGAGAACAGCAACTTTTAAACAGAGACTGACACGGGAGTGGATTTCACTCCTGTCCCGTCCCACTCCCACAGAAAAAAAATTGTGTCCCGTCCCGATCCCGGGCCAGAGTAGAAATCTAAATCCTGTCCCGTCCCACTCCTGGTGAAATTACTCCCACTCCCATTCAGAATGACTCCCGCTCCCGCACCACTCCCATTCTTGTTTTGAGCACGGGTGAAAAAGAGCGGAAGCACTGTTGGTTTTTGGGTCGTGTAGTTCTTTTGACTCGCATTATAGTGTAGGCTTCAAGGAAAAAAACTGCAAAATGGCGGCGCCAGTACTGGATTTTTTTTCTTTCTATTTTATTTTATTTTTTGGCATCTATCCTAGTTTTTTTTAGTTACTATTGGTTTGCTCCCGCTCCCGTCTGCTCCCGTTAATGTTTAATCCTGTACCGTCCCAATCACGTGATCGTTACTAATACTGACTCCCATCCCACGGGAATCCAGGGACCCGTGGGATTCCCGAAAAAATGTCAGTCTCTACTTTTAAACAGCGCACAAAAACAAATGGGCTTGTGCACGCTCTCACACGCGCATTTATTTTATTTTTTTTAAGTGGAGAGTTCCATACCCTGAATGTTCACTGGTATTCTGCTGGAGCAGAAACATGAATCGTTTCAGAAACCCTCAATTATTTATGCAATTTAATGGCAACAAGGAATTAACTTTATGTGGGTTTTTTTTATAAATATAAACAATCAAAGTTGTAATGTTAACTCAAGGGGAGGATTTAGTAAATTTGGAGCCCTAGGCAAAGACAGGCAGGGGGGCCTCTGAATTGAGAAGACCACGCATTTTGCATACGTTTTGTCCCTCTCTTCTTGTTTCCTCTCTATGTTTTGTACTCAGCTGACCTTTTAACCCATTTAGGCCGGGAAAGCATTACCGCATTTCTACCATTCAAGCCGGGGGTGCTGTTGCGTCATTCTACCATTGACGCCGGGAGAGCATATAAGTCAAGCAAGAAGAAAGAAGTTTTTTTCAAGCAAAGATGGAGGAGTTTGACAGAGAAGAGTTGTCGGAAGGCAGTGATTTTGAGGAGTGTGTCGGCTTTGATGACGGTATAGATGAAAATGATGACTTTGAACGCGCTGAACCAATCGAACTACCACCGCAATGCACGGAGTGTTTTCAACCGCACACCTGGAGTGAAAGTTGATTTGCCTGCAGACGCCACACCGCTGCAGGCATTTGAGCATATTTTTAATGAAGAACTTTGGATGCATCTTGTTACCGAGACGAATAGGTACAGTGACCAAACAAACCAAACTCCAACAAGAGCAAAGATGGCAAAGTGGTCACCCGTGACTGTGACGGAGATGAAGACATTTATTGGGCTGTGTATGTAAACCTCTCTTCAGGACGCAGTTCCCCCAAAATATGTCCCGGGACAGATTTGTGGCCATCTGGAGGTAGGTTGTATGCAATTTATAACACAGACATATGCATTATTATGCATAATAATACTGTTAATAAGTAATCATCAGATAGTTATTTATGTAATGTTTGTTCTTTATTTTGAAAACGTTTTATATTGCACATTCTCAATGAAGACATGATCACATATGGAAAAAATAAAAGGTTGAATTTTTTTTTTTTGATTACTGCTTTTCACATTTTTTTTTTGGAAGAATTTCAAAGATAAAATATATTTTGAGTTCTATCTGCTACAGAAGCTGAGATATCAATAATTTAGGCGTTGACACAGTTGCTGAATTTACAGAAAAACTTCAGGTTTTAGGGGTATTTTTTAAAATCGGCCATAGGTTTTTAAGGTGTTTTTTCCAGGCGTTTTAGGCCTAAATGGGTTAACAGACAAGATAGAGGAGAGCAGGAGGCGGGGTTACCAATCGAGTTCGCTGCTTTTAGATGTTGTCTCCAAAGTCTCCAGTAGCAGAAAAAAGTCGCTAGATTTGGCGCTAGGAGCTTTTTAGAAATCAACGTGCTAGAGGGGTCTGAAAAGTGGCTAAATATAGCGACTAAAGCGCTAAGTTGGCAACACTGCTCTTTGCATGGTTTGTTTTCAAATGGTTTGCTGCTGTCTGTTTGGACCTTTCTGAACATGTGCAGCAAATGGACTGATCCAATATGGTGGACACTGAAGGGGGGGCTGAGACTTACACTTAATATTATCAGCGTTCTGATGGCATTTTAGCCAAAGGATTTTTACGAGAAACATAATTAATGTGCACAAATAAGGAATAGTTGTATTAGCCATACATGTAAACAGGGTTTTATGGGGCCCCCAGGAACTTGGGGCCCTAGACAACTGCCTAGAATTGTCTAATGGTAACTTCGCCCCTCTTGTTACCCTTATACCAAATGGCTATGTCACAGCTAGCGTCCACTTCATCAAATCAAAGTGAAACCCTAACCCACATACTATGTCTTAATTATGGTTTTACTTCTCTGTACACTGGAGATCATTAGTGTTTCCAATTTTTCATTCACCTTTTTTTAATGCAGTAATCCACAAAGTTCCTGTTTTCATTTATACAGATTAGTTTTAGTTTAGGAATTTGTAATACAACACATTTAGTGTATTAAGTCAGCATATAGTACAGACGGCACAATAAATTGTTAAAAAAATAATGTTCTATTCATTTCTTATTTCAACATTTTGTAAGAAAAATTATTTATAACTTTCATGTTATGATACAAGAGAAAAAAGAAGTCAGTCATTAGTCAATGACATCAAACCACTTTAGATAAATTAATCAATAACTTGCATTTTTAATCACTACTAATAATAACTTTAAATTATTTCCCCGTCTGCTGCTTACATCCCCTTTAAAATGTCTTAATTGTTCCACTTGATAAAGACTTTTCCTCACCCACTGCAAATCTACCGAATTAGAAAAAATAAATGTTATTTGAATCAAAGCTGCTACCATTATTTTTATGTCCTGGTAAAATTAATTCCTTTTTACTTTTTACTTTTCCGATGAACAAGGATAGAATCAGGGAATAACCCCTAAAAAAAAAAAAGAAAATAAATCTATATCTATGTTTTAAAAATAATTTCAAGTTTGAACCCTTAAGAGGAGAATCTGAACCTGGTGTCATCGGTATCCTCTGCCCCTTCGTCATCTGCATCCTGCTCTACGTGTTCAGCCGTGCCCTCGTCGGCGTTCTTGTCCCCGGGGTTCTGCGCCGCCATCAAAGGGCCGTTGTTGAGATGAGGCTGGTCTGTCTGCTCTGTTTTGAGCTCACCTGGTGGAAAGCAAGAGGCACTGTTAGGACTCAGTGACTCGTCTCTAGATGTTTGATGGTTTTCTCTGCAGAGTGGAACAGAGCTGCTGGATACCTCGTAAATCGCCGCGGTCCGCCATCCTTCCAGGCTCCTTTTTGAAAACCCATTTTAGCTGCTGCAGAGGAATACAGAGAGAGTCTGAAAACTAGCCAAACAAATCCTTTAATCGACGGCTGGGGTGAAATCAGTAAACACTGAATCATTTGGGATCAGAGTTTCAGGAAAGTTCTCCATCTAATGGATGTTTTAACAGCGTTTTCTAAATTCAGGATGGAGCTTTGACTTTACAGTAGTTCTGTTCAAGTAATCAAACTTTGGCCTAAAAGAAACAGAACAATTAAAAAACTTTTATTTCAGTTAAATCTGCTCTGCAATGAGATGCTCTATATTTGGATCACCGTTGACAATTTTATCCCCAACAACCAACCCAAAAAGTAAAGAAAATTATTATTACAATTGTTAAAAACTTGCTTTAATATGTGAGTTTTTTTACTCTTTTTATGTCAAGTTACTGTTTTTGAGTGTTTTTCATGTATCTCTTATAGAAGCACTTTTTTTTTTATCTTTCTTAATATTTTCGGGCAAGTTGGTGTTTCTTGTTATTACTTTTAAATAAATTGTTTTCATCAAAATATCCATATTTTTTTGATGTTACAAAGGTAATAAGGTCTTGTCCTGGATTCAAATAACACTATTGGCTTGAAATTTGGATTTTCAAAGTAACCCTATAAAGGGTTAGGGACGTCCCAACACTACTTTTTCATTTCCGATACCGACATTGACCCGATACGATATTAGCATGAACCACACCGGCTTTTATGACTTATTATATACTAGGGGTGGAACGGTTCACAAAATCAGCGGTTCAGTTCACGGTTTCGTGGTCACGGTTTTCGGTTCGGTTCGGTATATGTTAATTGTTACACCGAAAAATAAAAATATTTATGAAAAAATCCAAAAAAATTAATGAATTGTAATTATTTTTAATGATCCACGGAAACCCTGGATCATTTCCGTATATTTTGCTGCTTTGAATTGAATCATCTGGCGCATGCCCTCTACGATCTTCGAGGAACTCAGAGCGGAGCGGACGGGAGCCACAGTGGAGGCTGTAGGCTTTGCTCTGAGCAGCCGGTCTGGAGCGCAGCGGGGCGGAGCGCTGACGGAGTATGAGGGATTTTGGGGTTAGCATGACATGTTGGTCATGTGGCTGTTAGCATAAACAAAACGTGTTGCACAATGCTTGCACACTGTTGCACTTTTATCCACAGCTTTCTTTCCGCCGTCATCGTAGGTCACTCTAAATGCAAAGTGGTCCCATACAGCAGACCTATAAAGTGCTGCTGGCGCGTCTTCCAACTCCTGTTCTTTCCCACTCGCCATACCCACACAATTCTCCACAACAACTGATTTTTTTCTGCTACACCCGGCTACGCTGCTTCGCTTCTTCTTCTTGTTTACTACTGGTGGTTGGCTTTGGTCGCAGTACCGCCACCTTCTGCTCTGGAGTGTAAACGCTTCGCCTATGAGAAAAAGGAGCAGCGCATGAACCGAACGAAACACACGCGAACCGAACCGAGACAGTCGAACCGAACGGTTTGGACGGTTTTCATAAACCGTTCCATCCCTATTTTATACTGTAGAATGTTAGAAAAGGCTTGATAAATTAATATTACTAAAAACAGGAAACACAAATCAACATCAAATGGTACGAAAACAACTGACTTCTGTAAAATTAACCAATGAGTAACAGAAACCTAACAGAAGCAGAGTTTTTATATTATAAAGAAAAAATCAGAGATTTAAGATGTCGGTGGATAAAATCCAATATTGGTTTTTTGGCAAATATCGGACCAATATCCGATAATATTGGATCAGGACATCCCTAATTATTTAAATTCCTTTTCATAATGATTTATTAGACATGACTTTTTGAATCACCTTTATTATATCAGTTTTTACATATTTTGATACACTGGGTCATTTTTGGTCTCTCACAAATATTGTCTCAGTAAACTATATGGTCAAGTATAATATGTTTTGTTTTTTTATTTTATGGGTTACTTTAAGGTAAGATTAGTAAATAAAATGATAAAGAAATTATTATATCCTATAGTTTTTTTTTTCTAAATTCAGTGAGTTTACATTTCAGGTCATCAATATATTACATTTTTGCAGACCTTCTGCATAAGAAAAAGCCTTTGCTGCTAAGATTTAGCCGTTGTTTCATTGAAATTTACCGATAATATCACCCAACTGAATAGAAAATAAGAATAAAAGAGCAAGCTTATGTAACGCATTCCAGTTACATCACCTGAAATGGTCGCACAATGACCTCTGACCCCTGCTTGAAAAGGTCTGAGCCTCTAGTTTCTGATGATGCCGGCCATTAGGGGGCGGAGTCACACATGTCAGGTGGAATTTTGAATCTCATTTTATTTGTTTACACAGCTATAAAACAAAATATTTGTAAAATAAAAAATTAAAAAAACACATGTTTTAGAAAAGTTAAAGCCCCATCTGAAAGGTGTGTGGATGAAACACCGTGTGACTGTGTTTTGGCCATTTCTATAAATGGACAAACATCAGCTGTTATCAGCTGGGCCTGGTACCGAACCCAGCAGGCTCAAGGGCTTAAATATTCTACAACAATTATCTATTAAACCCTAATAAGGCCTAAAAGAGAAGAGTTTTATAGCCTGATAACATTAAGGTTATACTAGTTATCACAGATCAACCTGCCTAATTGGATCATCTCTTCAAACCAACAGGTCATTTTTTTGTCTGGGGATTTTTATGGTGGTGTATGTTTAGCCAAAGAAAAGATCAAATAAGTAAATACTGAACCACACCTTGCTGGCAACTGGGTCCTCTGGTAGGAAAGGGACGCCATCAGGAACGTCGCAGGCCATGGAAGTGTCGCTGCTTTTGGCAGGAATGATGTACAGAGCCCTTTCTCCCAGCTCCCTCTGGGTGTGGTCGTAGTAGCCCAGGCGCCTTACCCTGCAGCCAACAGAGAAAATGCTTTGCTAAAGCGAGACGGCATCAAATGAGACAGTACCCTAGCATAAGGGAGGAAGGAGGGGGACACACAAGCTGTCTGAAGAGGACTGACTGACCTGTGAAGATTTTCCTGTGTGATGGTGGAGGGGGGTGGATATACGCTGTCAGAGCCTTTAGGAGAATAGCTCTTAGTGATCCACGTCACTTTCAGCTCCACCACCTTCACCTGAGAGAAGCACAAGACTCCCGAAGTAAGGATTTACACAATATAACATGCAAAACTATGAGGAAGTACAGCTCACAAAAACTTATTTAAAGTTGTAGGGAAGCGGCTGTTCTAACCGTTGCATTTCCGAATTCTCCAAAGTGGTGCCCGACTTTACACGAGTGAATAAAGTGAATATGATTGGTCGATTATTGTGTGGTGGAAGGTTCGCAAGCAAGTTTGATTGTAGCTGGTGTCTCGTAAGCATTTTGCTAACCAGTTAGCAGCTTAGTGCTAGCAGGTTCCCAATGGGAAATTCCATTGGGACAAAGTAGCACTAAATTGGTGACTTAGAAACGACGCTGTCAAGGAACGCTATGGACAGCGGAAACATGAAAGAGGAGGAGAGTTTAGTGTCGGAGGTCGTGGATGAGTCTCCTCCGTCATCCATTTTTTATTTAGAGGAGGAAAGCGGGGACGAAGATGTTGTGGAAGAGGACGCCAGGGCGGCAGAAGCTTGGTTTGGTGTAGAAGGCTTCCAGCCGTCCATGTTTGAGCCCTCGCCTCGCAACGCTGCCAGTTCTGTTAGCTCTACGCCTGCCGAAGACACAGACGTCCATCCCCGTGAACACTGGGACGGAACTCAATGGGAAAGGAAAGGATTCTGATTTCAACCGTTGCGTATATTAGCTGCGACATATGAATCAAGATGCTACGACTGAAAGAATTTGATTGACAGATGACCGTTGATATGATTGGCAGAATTTACGTGTACAAGCTGACATATAACTACCTAGCCTGAATAAAATAGAAATTCTCTAACATTTGGGACAATATCATCTGATAAAGAGTACATTTATATACATGTTTAAGCAAGAATGATTTGTCATTTAAATATGACTTCCATACGACTTTAGAATAATGAACTAATAATTCAGATTCTGAGAATCCTCTCACCTCTTCCACCACTACCTTGAACTTGCACTTCCTGCTCAGGACAGGTTTGACCCCCGACAGCCACTGCACATTGGAGAAGACTTTAGCCGGACCGATCAGGACCTGACCGGGGTAGAAGCCGTACTCCTCGTCGTAGAACAAACCCTGAAAAAGCAGCAACATGGCCGCAGGAAGGGAAGAAACTTTTCATTTATTGATAATTCCTGAACAAAATGATTCAGTTTGAATCAAAAACACATTGGCAGAAAATCTTAAAATAAACAATCCTTAAAAAAAAATTAAATCAAGTGAAGCTGCTGCCAGTGAGATGCGCTCTTCTTTGCATTTCTCACTTCAAAGCTTCCTGTCGTTTCCTCTAAACATGTTGATGCTCATTATGGTCAAACTATTTCCTTTATGCTCATCCGACCAGAGGACATGGCTCTAAGGATTAAAAACCTTGAAGTGTTTTTAGAAACTAACCTTTTTACATCCTGCTATAGGCCTCATTAAATACTGTAGCGCTAACAGCACCTTTAAGGGCTGGTTATCGTCCCGCAGCAGTGTGTCGCAGTGACCTCGTCACTGATATTTCAGATTTATGCCCAATATCGAAGCGTGGTCTGCGCTGTTATTCCACGCCACAACGCAAGAGAGACAATTACAAACTAGCTGCGGGTCTAGATACGGCCGAGGCGGTGAGGAATTGGAAAAAAAATGCAAGGTGCAAGTTTGTGTGACAAATGAGGGACATGAGGGCGAAAAAGAGGGTAAATCCAGGTGGAAAAAGGGTCCGAGCGTTCTCATGCACCTCGCTCTTCTAGCTGCTCCATCTTCACCAGCCGTTTTCCTCAATGGCGGCCATACAAAAAAAAAACAAGCTGGTAAGGAACCAAATAGGAAATACGCATAGAGTAGAGAGGATGTAGATTTGACCAATCAGAGGCCTGCTTTCTGCGGTCACCGATAACTTTGGAGAGGTGCAGCAGAGTGTCTGCATCAAGGGCAGGGGCACATTTGCATTCACTCAAATTTGAGCGGAGTGGTGTCTGCAGCTCACTGCAGTGAGGAATCCTCTGATCTTTATATTGGAGAATCCAAACAACCTCTCGACAGACGCATGACCCAACACAGAAGAGCACCCTCCTAGGTACAAGACTCTGGGATATATCTACACCTTATGGACAAAGGACATTCTTTAGAGGACCAGAATGTTCACATTTTGGACAAAGAAAATAGGTGGTTAGAGAGGGGTGTGAAGGAAGCCACCTATGTTAAGAAAGAAAAAACAACCTTAAACAGAGGGGGTGGACTCAGATTTCAGCTTTCAAAAAACCTACAATAGTCCTGTTTCTCTGACTGTGACTAACTGGATGTGCTCTCTTCATCCTCCGACATGGGAGCTGGCTCGGAGCTCGTCTGCCTGGCTGTGTGTTTCCTGGACGGGGCCGCCTGTGGAGCTGGTTGACAGTTGCCTTTTGAATTTCTGCTTCTTTTTCCATCTCTGCTTCTGTCTCCTTGAACCCCAGTGGGCCTCAGCAGATGGCCGCTCACACTGAGCCTGGTTCTGCTGGAGGTTTCTTCCTTTTAAAAGGGAGTTTTTCCTCTCTACTGTCGCTACAAGCATGCTTAGTGTGAGGGATTGCTGAAGAGTCAATGAGTCGATGCAATCAGCTGGTTTTCATTAGATAGAAAACTTTGAATCAATCTGACTGTGTGATCTGGTGAACTAAAGTGCCTTGAGATGACATGTGATGTGAATCGGCGCTATAGAAATAGACTGAATTGAATTGAATAGTTGTGGATCAGCTCCTCCGAGATAAAACATTTACTCTTAAATAAAAGCTAAGGTGACAGAGAGGCTACATACCGAGTCACTGACATGTGGACAGACATCATAAAGCTTGGCACCGTCCTCCACACTCATGGAGCATCTGGAGGGAGAAAGACAGCAGGACAGTAGGATGATGTTGAACTGATGTGGGACTTACAGAATAAATCAAGACTTCACTTCCCACACGTCATCAGAGACAGCTGTACGCCACACTCATGCACACAGGGACAGCCCACCTGGCTCCGTTAGAAAGCTTGAGGATGATGTGATTGGTCAGGTCGTAGACTTTGCCGAGCCAGAAGTCGTAGGCGATGTAGTCGCCGTACATAAAAGACTGAGAGAAACACAAACAGACAGTTTTACATCTTCGGCAAACATTTCCTTGGAACCAACAGAGAACAATGAGGAGGCTGCAGACCAGATCTGCCACAAACACCACTTGATTACATTTAGAGACAGACGGCTACATTTTTTTAGAACAATCAAAAGTTTCGTCATAAACTTCTTTTACAGCAGCCAATCTAAAAGGCTGGTTATCCTCCCGCAGCAGTGTGTCACAGTGAGCTTGTCGCAGATATTTTTAATTTATGCTCAAAGGGTGCTCTGCGCTATGTTATTCCACGCCAAAACGGATACGGCCGAGGCGGTGAAAATTGGGGGCAAGGTTGCGTGACAATGGAGGGACATGAGGGCGAAAAAAAGAGCGGGGATCCAAGTGGAAAAAGGGACCTAGCGTTCTCACGCACCTCGCTCTTCTAGCTGGTCCTTTTTATGAAACGTTTTCCAAAATGGCGGTCATACAAACAAAAAAAGCCGGTAAGGTAGCAAACAGGAAATACGCATAGTGTAGAGCGGATGTAGATTTGACCAATCAGACGCCTCCTGTCTGCGGTCACCTACATTTTTGGAGAGGAGCAGCAGAGTGTCTGGGGCGGGGGCGGGGCATATCTGCGTTAACTGCGACACACGCAGACGACCTGGTTTCTGAGTATAACAGAGTTCCTACAGCATAAGGCAAGTTAAATTCAAGACTTTTTAAGACTTTTTAATGCCACTTGAAATAAAAATTTAAGACCAAATTCACAAGAAACACAAGAAAAACCCGCTTGCAACAACTTTACCCAAAGGTTTATTTTAACATAAACCACTGCACTAATGTTTCAAATATTGAAAAGCTTCCCATACAGGAAGAAAGCTAAAAACACACAAATGACAGATATATTTGAACAATTATTTAACTGAATTCACAAACTTAGTTTTAGCAGGGAACAAAACAAATCAGTTTTAAAGCCCCAACATAACCAGTGCTAAGTCTTTTTTGCAGCTATTTTTCTTTGTATCGTTTTCTTAGTATGTTTGATTTGGTGATAAGTGGAGGCGTTGCAGAGACAAGGGTGGAACTAAACGGAGAAATACCGGCTGTTTCTCTGTAACTCCATTTTGACGCTTTGTGTTTCGTGCTTCACATGTGCATCTCCCAAATGTCCCGGCCGCAACAACGCTTTTATTGGTTCCGCTATCGGGACGGAACCAATAATGGCGAGCCATTTTTTTTTTAATAATAAAAAAATATATATCAATTTTAATGTTTTATTTAGATTACAAAAATAAATCGTAATAAAAATAATCCTATTTATGATGTTTTAAAAATTAAGACCAACGAAAGACTGATTTAAGACATTTTAATACCAATTAAGGCCTTAGTTTTATTTTGAAGAATTCAATGCCTTTTAAGACTTTTTAAGGACCCGCGGGAAACCTGTATAAACCAGCCTTTACTCAACAGTAATCAAGGTGATGCACTAAGATAAAATAAACTAGATAAAGTATAAAGGTGACCGAGCTGCAAAGCAAAGTTAGCGCTCTTACCCAGATGTGCAGCAGGTCTTTGCTGTTGACTGGATAAAGCACACAATTTGTTCCCACAAACTTCACAGCACACTCGATATCTATGTTGGTCACAATCCCACACTGGTTGTCCTATAGCAGAAAAAACAGACATAAATTATTTCACAGTTAAATCTGATAAAGGCCCTTTGCTTTTAAGGAGATAAAATAATCCAGCAGGTCCATAAAGCTCCACAGCTCGGGCTGGGTGATACATTTCTTATTTTGGGTTGATTCAAAATTATTTCAAATTATTTTATTTGTACTGGGCCAACTAACAACACGTCATGCCACTTTAAAGAGACAATTCAACTAGATCATCCAGTCATATTGGTTCAAAGTTTTCTATATAAGAAAAACCAGCTGATTGCATCGACTCATTGACTCGACTTTCAATATCAATATTAACAAATTAAAAGCCAAGAAAAACAAGCAGGACTTTTGTTAAATTTATAAAATTCCTCCGATGTTGTTAAAAATAGCTTTAAAAAGACAAAAACAAAATAAAACTGGAATGTAAACGACGCATTTTATAATAATAAATTAGATTTTTTTCTAAATTGAACCAGGTGAAACTAAAAGTTTTCCACACTTGAGGGGTTAGGAAAATAGAAGATTGATATAAAAATAAATATTTAAATTGTAAATGCAAAATGTTTATATATTTTTCTACAATTGTGGTATAATTACTGCTTTAAGTGGGACGCTCTGTCAGCTTAAGACATGTATTACAGTCTCTATTCTCCAGTTAATGATAAATCGATTACTAAATTACTTCCTTCTCACATATAAAGCCTTAAATGGCCAAGCTCCATCTGATATCAGAGATCTGATTGTTCCTTATGTTCCTAACAGAGCACTTCGCTCTCAATCTGCAGGTTTATTAGTGGTTCCTAGAATTTCTAAAAGTAGAATGGGAGGCAGATCTTTTAGTTATCAGGCTCCTCTCCTGTGGAACCAACTACCAGTTTTAGGCCCCGTCCACACGAAGTCAAACCCTGGCCTAAACACACAAATTTTTCACCAAACCAGCCTCTCATCCACACGAAGCCGGCGTTTCGGGGATCTTCTGGAATATCTCCAGGAAGAACAGAGCAATATCGACCACATAGTTCAGCACCTGAATTTGACTTAACCACGAAAATGGACCCGCAGGGCAACCATGTATAAATATTAGTGCGCATGCCCAACATTTCGTCGCTTATTTTTGCTTTGGCACCACAGCGCCACTTACAGGCCTGGCATACATTTTGCAGCGTTTTCATGCATTCGTGTGGACGCTCACATTTATTTTACGTCTCCGTCTTTACGGCAAACGTTTTGGAAAATATCAGCGTTTCGTGTTCGTTTTGACTTCGTGTGGACGGGGCCTTAGTCCGTGAGGCAGACACCCTGTCTACTTTTAAGGCTAGGCTTAAAACTTTCCTTTTTGATAAAGCTTCTAGTTAGAGTGGCTCAGGTTATCCTGAGCTATCTCTATAGTTATGCTGCTATAGGCTTAGACTGCTGGAGGACATAGGGACCCCTTTTTCATCATTCTGCTTCATTCTATCTCTATTCTCTCACTTTGCATAATTCTTTATCCTCTCTCTGCTTTTTCTCATAGTAGCTTCATCTGGTCTGTTCCTGTTTGGCTGTGACTCCATCCTGGAGAGAAATATCAGCTGTGCTGCTGCCATCAGCACCTTTGTTTCTAGATGCTGGAGATCGGCCATTTTTTTCAGTGTAGTCCTGTTTCTCTGACTGTGACTAACTGGATGTGCTCTCTTCATCCTCTGACATGGGAGCCGCCTGTGGAGCTGGTTGACAGTTGCCTTTAGTATCGCCGTTTCTTTCTTTACGTCTCCTTGAATGCAGGTGCATCATCTGCTGTCGTTATGATGCTCATCCTGCAAAGTCAGTCACTGACTGCAATCAGCTGGGTTTCCTCAGGCAGAAAACTATTATTGGATTAAATCTCTTATAGTGTATAAACTAAATTAAAATGAATCACACATTCTCTGGGATGATCTGTGTGATTCCCCCAATCAGTCTGTAATTGATCCTGTTTTCCAGCAGACTCTTCTGCATTTTTCAGTTTTTGTTATATAATACGTCATGTGCATCATGAACTGATATACAATTAGGTGCAGTAACCGCTTAACTGCAGTAAAAACTAAGGTGAAAATTAAACTTAAAGGCCATTTTAAAGCTTAGTGCCGTTTTTATTTTCAGAATGACTTAAACATGAGCAAAATAAAGAGCCTCTCTTTGCTCCTAAGGAAACATCTTGTTCCAATTATATTCAAGTCATGCAGAAGATAGAGCACAGCTCTGAACAATGAAACAGCTGCAAAATATAAAGGAAATAACAGGAAAAAAATATAGAATAGAAGAAAGGAGAGAATATAAATTTCACTTACAGCAGAATTGCTCCTTCGCACAATGTCTCTGATGACAATAGATCGGTCTTCAAGTTTCAGCTGGAAGAGAGAGCAAAGCCAGGAAAGTACCTGATCAGTATTTCCTCAAAACAGCTACAGATAAACTTTGATCAAATTCCCTGTAGGTTCTGTATAAATATATCCACTCATCGATGACGACAGCAGGGCCAATGCGATTCATCACATCATCACAACATACAGGATCAGGGATTACATGACCTCTAAGACACACCTTGACGATTTAGACCAGCGTGTGCCTGATGTACGAAAAATCTGGCACAAACGCTGCCATATGTTGGATAAGTTAAGGGTACATTTTGTATAAGTTATGAGCACGCTGAAGTACAGGAGCACATTGACATACGGCAAGTACGTCTCCAGGTATGCCAGGGTATGCCTCAGTGGGCCATAGGTTCCAGGTAAGTTTTCCTTTAATGCAGCGGCTGAAGTTGCAAAAGAAATGAAAGATCACTTGATGCGCTCCAGCACTACCATCCATTTTTATTTCCGTAAACACAGAGCACGCTTGCTCGTGATGTCATTGCGTCCTTTACCCCACATGCAGGACACATAAGCTGCATGAATGAAGTTCACAAAGGAGATCACATACAAGTCGCACATATTTGGAAATGTGAACGACCACGCAGAAGAGTTTCACCAAAAAATCAGAACTGAGCATAAAGGCTTGCAGTGTGAATGTAGCCTTAGTCTAGGGAGGGCGCATGCGCACGCAGCGACCAGAAGTGGTAGTGTCATCTTTTATTTTTTATCTGTGATTTGTGAAATGTGAACATGTGTGTGAAAGGTGTACTACTACTGGACAAAATTGCCCATACTGGGACAAATAAAAGCTACTGAACTGAACTGAACTAGGTTAGGGTCTTTTATTTATTTTGCCTATGTTAAAGATCTCTATAGGAAACATTAGTTAGTGCAGCAAAGATGTCAGGTTGTTTTGTAGATTTCCCCATTTTCAACTAAATATTTGAAAAGAACTGCAAATGTGAACAGACACACTCCTGGGTTGTTGCAGCATCTCTGATTCGTCACTGTAACCAGATCCCACCGCCTCCTGAACAGAAGAATAGGAGTGTGGGTGTGCATAGAGGACCCGATCGATCAGTCGCCGTGTTCCCTTGTAATCTGTTGAACGACAGACGACTTTCTGTTGTCTCCGCTGCTTTATGCCTCGGTACACACACTCTACCAAACACGTAAAGCGGCCCGTCCACAGCTTTGAGCAGACAGAACATCCAACACTCGCAGCTCTGCTTCATTAATATTCTTTCAGTGCATCATGCTGCAGTGCGCCTCTATAGTAACACATTTCCTCACCTTCACAGCCCCTCTTTAAGAGTCAAGAGCGGCCTGATAGAGAAATCATTAGGCCTCTGAACAATGTAGGCCGCAGCACTTCTTATTAACCTGTTAAAGAGACAACGATTTAGCTGGATTTAATCAAAGCCCTAAAAAGGCCGTTCAATATAGTCACCTGACATTATGACTAAATATTTAAGAAACCGCTGTAGTTCGGTTATCTCGTGTAAATAAAATGATCCGAGGTTAGAAATCAGCTTTAAAAACTTTTGTTCTTCACCATCTGACCTTTATTAACCCTTTTATGAATCAGGGAGGCCGAGTTCCTTGAGGAACCTGTTCAAAGACTTTACTTACTTTTATTTATTTACTCATTATTTAGGTAACACACACACACACGTCACTCTTATCTCCTTTTATTCTTATATCTTATTTGTTCTTACAATCTTATTTTTCTCTCTTCTATAAACGACTTCAATGCCAGAAAAAAATTTCCTCCAGCACATAACTGCAGGGTGCAAGATGCTGGCAGGGAAAGCTTACATGGAGCCATAACCAAGAGGCTACAATAGTGTACAGGAACATCAGTGCAGAGTATGGGCTGGAAACCCCAAGGTCACAGTGGGAAAAAATCCAAAGGTGGTAGAGAAAGACCGAGCCAAGATCCTGTGGGACTTCTAGATACAGACGGACCGGATAGTGATGGCAAACCAACCGGACATTGTGGTGGTGGACAAAAAGCAGAGGAAAGCTGTTGTGGTTGCCATAGCGATACCAAGTGACTGCAACATGAGGAACTAGAGAAATACCAGGGGCTCAGAGAAGAGCTGGAGAAAACCTGGAAGGTCAAGGCATCAGTGGAAGCCGTGGTCATTGAGGCCCTCGGTGCAGTGACCCTCAAACTGGAGGAGTGGAAATACATCAGACATCTCGGTCCAGAAGAGAGCAGTTCTACGAAAAGCAAAGATACTGGCAGAACCCTCAGGTTCCCAGGCCTGGGGTAGAGGATCCACTAAAATTCACAAAACTTCCTAGATCATGCATCCCTTCTTGTGTCTTGGTGTAACTTGATGTGAGGCAGCAAATGCAGAGTCGCATTACGTGTCCTGATAACTTGAGTAGAGGTGAGTATTGGCATGAGTGTTGCAATTCGATACCTGTCGCGATACTTGGGTCAGGATACGATATTATCACGATATTGCAGTATCACTATATATTGCCATATTTTCCCCAGCTATCAAAATCAAATGATGAGATAAAACAGCAAGTGCTGTATATTTTCATCAGAAAATATTGATTAGGTATTATTATCCATGTTGTTTGGGGTTTTCTTCCACTGTGATTGCCTCAAATATACAGATTTGGTGCTGCACGCACAGTTAAAGAGCTCCACAGCGCTTTCTGCCAGAGTGGTGGTGCAGAGGTAGCCCATTTTCCCAGCAATGTTTTATGTTACCTTTTTTTTTTTGAAAATCGATACTAAGAAGTGAAAGATTAATATTATATTGGGCAGCCGAATATCACGATATATCGCCAAAACGATTATTTCCCACACCCCTAAACTTGAGGATGAATAGAAGCTGGCTACCGATGACGACTTCATGTCAAGGTAGAAGACAATGAACGGCAGGTAAAGACGAGGTTAGATCCAGACAACAGAATGATAACCAAACAACTGTTTGCTCTGGCTCTGTGAAGGTTTGGAGAACCTGACAAAGGCATTTCTTGCAAGAGAATGTTCAAACTTATTTCATGTCCACAAATAGAAAAATAGCTCTTACTGAGGCAACTTCATTACATGCATTTAAACAGAAACTTCCAACACATACACACCCTCCCTTGGAACTATCCCACCCATACATAAAGAACTTTCTCACACACGAACATTTGGAGGGAAAACAACTTGAGTTCATCAGGGCCATCCCTGTTAGGTTAATATATTTTTCACTGGTCAGATGGATCTCCTCAAAACATCAGTCCTCCCCTTCATGCCATGAAGGAGGCTCTGTAACTCGTTCTCATCTCTCATGACCTTCGTTTGGAGCCTGTGAGGCTAAGAGCAGACATCAACATTTTTACGCCACAGCTCTTTAAACCAATCTAGTACAATAATGAGGGCAGCAAGGAAACAGTGGCCTCTGGCAGGTGGAAGCAGAACTACATCTTATCTTGTCTTTGAGATGAAGACTTGCCTGGCTGCCTCTCCATCCAAACTGATAGCACAGAAGGGCTCAGATTGATTACAGGAATCGATAGCAGCCAGGATTCGCCTCCACTTCCCAGCCTAATTTAGTCGAGTCGTTATTCAGGTGCAGCACAATGAGGAGAGACTGCAGCAAACTGCAGCCTGAAACCACGCCTGTTTGCTCAGATGGGTTTTTAACCATGCCCCCCCCCCCCCCATCATCCACTTTCTTCTTCAGAGTGTAAAGAAATCTGAGCCATGAAGACAAGAAAATAAGGCGGATCAAACAGACATTTTAAGGACACAAGCTGTATATATCCACACACCTCCCAATAATCAAGTTTATGGTGTCATCGTTAACCATCTGTGCTTTTCTTTTTTTCCTCCTGAATTAAAGATACTTTGGTATTTGTTCTCAATTAAGATCAAGGTGGAATAAGATTAGGCAGTTACTGATAGAGGATGCCAGTCCCATACTACAGTCTCTCTAATCCGACACCCCCCCCCCCCCCCCCCCCTCCCTGACTAGTTTGTCTAGGATCATTATACGGCCCAGGAAAGGGTTAACTTTTAGGGCATTGGCATGGGCGGTTCTAGACAGGGTCAACGGGGACCAGTGCCTCTGTAGATAATGTCCTGGCCCCCGTTATGGTCCTTTGGATCTATTTCTATTTTATTTTATTTTTATTATTATTCTGTTTAATTTTTTAAAAACAATAAGGTGATAGCTTCAGTGGGATTCAGATAGGATCCCAGTTTTCATCTGCTAAATGTTTGTTTTTTCAAAACAAATTTAAAAAAATACTCAAATTTTTACAGCTGAATTTATCAGTTTTTCTTGAGTTCTAATTCAGATTTTATAGAAAAAGGCAATTTAACTTAAATTTAGTCAAAATAAGTAATATTCCTAAATTATGAATGAATATTGACCTAATAATACATAGAATTGTAATGAAACCTAAACAGACCTTGAATAGAAACTTCACATCTTTCACAGCTATACTAATATATTTGAATCCCTTGGCCTGTTTTTTATTTCAAGCTTTTCTTTGCCCCCATGAAAATACGCTGGCCCCATGCTGCATTTGGTCTAGAACCAGCACTGGGGGCCTAGTAGTTAGGGCATAGGGCTTTGAATCCTGAGGTTGTGAGTTTGAAACCCACTCCCACAGACCTCCACTGTGGCTCTCTGAGCAAGAACCCTGATTGCTCCCCGGGCGCTGCACAGTAGCAGCCCAAGGCAGATAATTAATTTCTCTATTGTGAGATTCAATTCAGTTTATTTCTATAGCACCAATTCACAACACGTGTCATCTCAAGGCACTTTAAGCCAGGCGTACATTTTCAGTGCGATTATCCAGTTGTTCGAGAATATTTCGATCCTGCCCGACTTTCAACTTGATCTGGCGTGGTGTAGTGTACAGGGGGTAACGAGGGGTGATCAGCCTCTCACGACCACCTCCCCATCAGGAATCGTAACATTAAAAAAAATCATGTTTGATTTTCTCCCGACGTCGTGGGCAAATCGCTCAGTGCA